AAAGTTTTCGGCGGTTGCCATGGCTTTTGCCATTTTGCTTACAATTTCTAACAAATTCTATTTTCGGCAAAACACGCCCCCAATCAAACAAAAAAGAAACGAATTACTTGAATCTGTTTTATTGGAGGGTAGTTTAACGGAAAGCATTGTCCCGGTCGGTTGCAATGCTTTTAATTTATTTTTTAATGGACTTTAGTTTACAAATCTCTTGTTTTATTTCGTGGAAGTCGCCCTTAGTGGTCGCATTAGACCTCGTCGGTAACAAATTATTTCTACTTATTGTATCGCGATTGAAGGGATACTTTCGTAATTACTTATTCACAAACGATGCTTGCATAAGTGAAGCAGCAAATCGAACGCACAGCGTTGAATAGAGCTCTGTGATTAGTTCGTGTGTCACCCTGCGCGTACACGCGCACTGTGAGACCTCATAGTAATGTTTTCAATTTCATATAGTTTATTCAGTACATAAGGCCCTTTTAAACTTATACACGTCCCAAATATAGCTTGCCCTACCACCACTTCGGGACAACATAAGGGCTGGTGCTGAGAAGAAGTGGTGGAAGAAACTCATGTCCATTTTCACCATCAATCCCTGTTTAAGTGACCCCTATGAAAACAACATTCCTGTTATGTGTTACCATAGGGGTCACTTAAAAATTAGGGATTGATGGTGAAAATGGGCATCAGTCACCTTATGTGTGTGTTTGTGAATACGGGCGATTGTGTTCTATAGTGTAGTGAAGTCACTGGTCAACAAAATGTCTGCTTTCAAGTAAGTAGATATACTTTATTTTATTGGTGTTTACGAGTAATTATTGATTGTGTAGTGTAAATGTTGATTCTGCAACATTGTTGGCGATCATTGTGTGCATTGTTGTGTGGGAGTGTCATGTGAGTATTTAACTTATAATAATAATTAATTATTGTACTACATTATTAAATGTGTGTAGATCGTATGACAATACTTATCGTTATGATAGTTAAGGAACGTTGATTAATACATTATTGCAATCACGGGATCGTTGAATACTTAGATGATGGCCTTTCTAAAGCGTTATTTCAGTTCACGGTTCGGTTAGCTGCAGTTACACGTCATTTCCGTCATAGTCCAGCAGTGGGCTGTAAAGGGCTGTTAATTTCATCATCATGATGATGTTGATACGTCATTTTGCGGAAACATCAGGGTTGACAACTGTTATCGTGGTCACCCATCCCGTTCCGAATCGCACGACTGTCACCTAGTTATGTAATTTGATAGCATTATCATTCTTCGTAAACGTATCTTATTTCGGAATCGAATAGATTAACTATCGAGTAAAAGATATAGTGCGTAGAACGCACGAGTTTGGACTTTGCACTTTATTAAAATTATCGGACATACCTTACACGGTGCACAAAATTAAATTACTTAAACACTGAACTATCGCCCGTCTTCACAAACATTACTATGAGGTGTCACAGTGTGCGTGGACGCACACACAGAGTTCTATTCAACGCTGTGCGTTCGATTTGCTGCTTCACTTAAACAAGCATTGTTAGTGAATACGGGCGTATAACTATTAGATAACTTTAATTTTTTTATGATTTGACGGTAAATTCCTAATTAATATGAATTAAAAATTTCATTTTAGTACATGAAATATAATTTCATTGTGTGCATTTTTACTCTTTTTTAGGGTTCCGTAGCCAAATGGCAAAAAACGGAACCCTTATAGATTCGTCATGTCTGTCTGTCCGTCCGTCTGTCCGTCCGTATGTCACAGCCATTTTTTTCCGAAACTTTAATGAGCTATACTGTTGAAACTATTCTAAGAAGTATTCTGTGAACCGCATTAAGATTTTGATGCAAAAATAAAAAAATAATAAAAATTTGGGGGCTCCCCATACTTAGAACTGAAACTCAAAAATTTGTGTTTTCGCCCGCGTGGACTACATTAATAGCCTAAGTGTTTTTCCAAAATAAAATTTAGCCTATGTTACTCGTGGATAGCTTTCGAATGGTGAAAGATTTTTTGAAAACGGTCCAGTAGATTTTTGAGCTTATTCATTACAACCAAACAAACAAAGTTTTACTCTTTATAATATTAGTGTAGTAATAAATAAAATCACTTCTGGGTTTTTTATAATGTTACTTTACTTACTTTGCTCTGTGAAGCTAATACCTATTTCTAAAGCAAAACTGTCACAAAATGTTACTTTTTCTAGATCTCTGTTTACTTCGCCATGTAGGTACTACAGTCGTAATGTCACGTAGGTATAAGTCTATTTCCATATCAATATAACGTAAACTTACTATCGTAAACTAATGAACATTATAGATAGGTACATAGGTACGCACTCTTTATTACATGTAGTATATGGCATCGTAATTGTGAACTTTTTATACTTATATACGGCTATTAGTTTATGTAACATTTTAATCTAACTACTATCACAGCTACTACTAAAGATACGATGTAGTGAAGGTTGTGGAAAATACCTGGATGCGGGCAGTATATTATGAAAATTCGTGGGGAAGGCTTTTGTCCAGCAGTGGGCGTCATTAGGTTTAATCGACACGTTAGATTTAAACTGACAGAGTTACTAATTTTACTGTGCCTAATAAACCACCGTAAAATTGTGAAATTCCGCCAGATTATAGTCTGACCTAGTAAGGGCTGATTTTTCAATCTTCGGATAATTTTAACTGAAAAATAAATTTGGCACATTGACAGCTTTAGTATGGGAAATATGTCAAATAACACGTTTATTCTTCAGATAAAAGTGACGATTGAAAAATTAGCCATAAATCTAACCTAACCTAATCCACTGTTAGTTTACAGTCTCACGCGTTATAATAGAAACTGACGGGGTTCACAATTTTACTGTGATTTATAATATAACTAGCGACCCGTCCCGGCTTCGCACGGGTGCTTAGTATTACTATAAACCTTCCTCTCGAATCACTCTATCTCTTAAAAAACCGCATCAAAATTCGTTGCGTAGTTTTAAAGATCTAAGCATACATAGGGACAGACAACGGAAAGTAAAGTGTCTTTGTTTTATACTATGTGCCTAGTGATACACAACATAACTAATTAATTACAATGATTGTAAGTTATAATAGCATAATTTAGTTAAAATAACTACGTTCTAATTAAATCAGCATCGATAGGAAACTTAAAATCCGGTTTAGGCGTCAATTTTTTTTGTTTTTATTCCAGTAATTAATACATGTAATTATATACATGTGATATTGGTTGGCACAACTCGTGATAGTTGCATCATCTTGTATACATAATTATAACAAAGGTTGTGGCAGATAAAGGCAAAATATTACCAGTTAAAAATCGAAAATTGGGGGAACTACATCTTGAGAAATAACGTGTGTTTTGGTAATTATAGTGAAATATTATTTATGTAATTATAACTTATAAAAAACTCATAATTGTTTGCAAGTAGGCTTTTGAAAAGCACTTCCCAAAAGCAAGTCCCTGTATTAACCCTACCACTGCTACCACTGCTTCGGGACAATAAATGGGCCAGTGCTGAGAAGAAGCAGCGCAAGAAACTCAGTCACTATTGTAATCAAAATTACACCAAAATTAAAAAGTCTAATCTAAAACAACGTACAAAAGTAATACACACGGATAGTCGGATATTTTAAAAAAGATTGAAAACAAAAATATTTTCATAATTACCTACAATCTGTCTGCTTGTTATTTTTTCACCACTATTTATAAAAAAATTATAAAGAGATTTGGAGACCAAGGTGAAAGTATAGGATAGTTTTATCCCATGAATCACGCCCCCTGATAGAATTTATTTAAACGAAATTCACACAATTACACAAGTGAAACCCTAGACATTTTTATTACAGTGACTGTTTAATTTTCAGAGTTTTATAATTAAGTTATTCGAATTATTGAATCTTTTAAATAACTTTAATTCTATTTACTTTCCTACTCTTAACACCCTGTATAGATTCATTTACATGTGTGTACAAAGATCACTCTGTTTATCTGTCCATGTGTAGACGTGATGAGCACCTGTGCTTAGAATAGTTACATAATGCCTAACACCATCTTATTAACAGACTGATGCTGCTAGACTAAGCAGAATTTACAGCCGAAAATATTTCGCACGCACGGTTAGTAAAATTTGATCCACGAATTTTTTTAGCCGAAAATTATTCGGCCAAAAATATTTTTTACCAAAACCCACGGTTAGCAAAATTTGAACTGGTACATTAGATATTTTACCTACTCTTATACTGATGTTATCGTCACTTTTTAATGTTGTCTTTAACTAAGTCGTTAGCCCGTTTTATCTCAGTAATTTAACATTTTTATTGAGTATCAATAGTCTAGACTAAACTTCTCTGGCAGACTCTTTTCTCGACTTGACTACTGTATTCTCACCGGTGATAATTAAAATACATATCATTTAGATAAAGTATTCCACAGTAAATCATTTAATAGCTAACTCTAGAGCTTTTCTGAAAATTGATAACCAAGTTTTATATTGTAAGGGCTTGCTCTTCATTAGTTTCTTCTTATGTGATTTGTATTTGCAATAAACTGAAGCTCAAGTACTCTTATTTAACGCAATTAGTAATTTTAAATTCTAATGCTGAGTTGTACCACCTAACTTGAACCGTAACTATAACGATAACTGGAGTTTTGTACGTTTTTTGTCAATTTTTAACGTTTATTATCGTTAAAGTTAAAGTACCATCTTGGTACAACCCAATCTTATTTTCTTAAAAGCATTTGGGTTGCATGAAACTAAAACGTGCTTGCTTAAAACTTATCCGCCCGACTGTTCGACCGTTTTTTGGGCCGAATTTTCAGCCGAAAACTGACATCTCTACCATCACTTCCGCGCCATGATCCGAGCATTGCCTAAATATAGGGCATTGTATGTGTTATCACACCTCATGGCATCACTTTTCCGGTTATCAGTCCGTGTGCCACGCGAGACGTTTGTGATTCATTGATAAGCGCCGGTATAACAATTTGTATGACACTCTGTTAAGCCAGACTGTCACCAAGTGCCAGACGGAACGCCCTGTCTGGGAGATAATAATAATAAAAAATAAACAAGAAAATAATTAAATAAATAAAGAAAGTTCAGTGCTCGTGTGTGTTTGTGTGAAATGAGTAGTGCAATGGTGAGTTTTTAATTTTTTTTGTTTAAAAAAAGCCGAAATAGATGTTTTATGAACGTCAATAATAATAAAATAAATAAAAAAACAAAAATTTTAACTTAAGTGCTATGTAATTTTATATGTTTTTTTCTTTTTATTTTGTTTTTGAATAAAGATTCCAAATTAAATTCAGTTTTATAGATATTGTGATGTTCTGAAGCCTATTTTACTGCATTTTTCAATTTAATAATCCTCAAGCGCAGGGTTTTTTAATTAGTTTTAAACTAACTAGTTCAAATAATCAAACTACTTCTTAGCTACCAGAACAAAGCGAAATGAATTAACAAAAATTGTAACAGAGATAGTCTTCTTTAACGGAAAAAATATTTAACAGTATCTAAGTAGAGCACAGTTGTTTTTAAATTAGTAGGGTCGGTGCTCTTGCAGTTATAGACTAATGATGACCTGATGATTATGATGATGAAATTGATTCTATATTATTTTTTTATGTTTTTTTATTTATTAGCAATTTGTAAATTTTAATACAAATTATTAATAATCCTTTTAATGCTTCGTGGTGAGCTAAATATGCTGATGTTACGAGTTACTTATAATTTAAACTTAAATCACATTTTCATAGTTTACGTTTATTTTTACACAAAGTTTAGTTCCTGGATCAAAATGTTAAAGACAAAGTTTCAAAAACATTATAACAGTGATTATAAAAATTATAAAAACAAAGGTGACAACGTCCAATTATCATTATTTGAAATGTTTCGAGTTCATTAAGATTAAAGAAACAAAGTCAAAATAATCACAACAAGTAAATAATAAGCAGATTAACATAGTTATAGCGTTTTGATAATTTTATATGTACACATAGTGATAGATATTGAAGTACGTAGGTATAAAATCTCACCTTATTTCATTGTTTGAAAAAAATGAAAATACCCTTACACTTGCATGTGACATGCAATAAATAATTTGAATTTGAATATTTATTGCCAGATCAAGTAGTACAAAGCAAAACTCCATACTAGGCATTGCATAGGTTTGACTTTTTAAGATTGGGTTGCACCATCTTAACTTTAACCGTAACTATAATTTAACCGGTCTTTAGTTTGATAGACTTGACGTTTTTTATAGTTAAAGTTAGATGGTGCAACCCAGGGAAAGTCTACACTCTAACTTCCATACTTTGTGGTAATTTTAAGCCTCCTTTTCGTAATTCCAAATAGCCGACCAAATTTTCCAAGGCCCTAGAATTTTGAGAGATCATTGGTTCCGAAAGAAAATGACAGAGTTTACTGAAATAGTTAGGGGTTCATTTCATCATCAGGTCATTTAGTCTACACTGCAGGTGCACGACGGTCTCTTATGTACCAGAGGCAAATGGGGTAGTTGGCCTACACTCCCCACGTTGGCCAGAAGGGTTGGGGATAGGGTTACCAGGTTCAAAAACACAAAAGCCGGACTCTGTGCTTCATTTGGCCGGACATTTTACCCTAAAAGCCGTCCTGATGCGTGCGCTTCATATTATTCTGTGGCTCGACTTTCGCTTGGCACGGCAGCCAAATAAAAAGCCTAACAAAAGCCGGACAGGCCGGACAAGTCAATATTTGGCCGGACAAGACCGTAAAAAGCCACCTGGCAACCCTAGTTGGGGAGGCTATAGAAATAGAATTTCATTTAGGTATAACATCTCATCAACTATACCTACTGTAATATTCTATCAGTCAAAATCTTATAACTGACATTTTCAATGTTGGTTCCTATTGGTTTCTATAAATAAATATTATATTTATTTTATACAAAAGAAACCATGAGCCTCTCAAGTATAGATTAAAATTCAATTAACCTAAATACATAAATAAACATGTGTCCCAATTCGTTCGTTTAATACCTAGAAAGATTACAAATTACATTACAGATAAGAGTATATTTAGATTAATTATCTTAAAAGATTAAAGGATAGATTTTTACGCACTGTAATTATCGATTACCTATAATCGATCACTGTTATATTAATGTTGTCTAATGGTTCGAAGGCAATAAATACTTTTTTTATTTTATTTATTTATTTTTTATTAGACGTGTGATTATGGAGGTGAAGACCTCTCCCACTCTTCCCATGGTTGTAAGACATCCTAAGGGCTATATTTCACCGGAACACCATGGCGGCGCAACCAGTCGCCGGCTACCAACAAAATATATACAGCTCTATAGAGAGTTACTCACCTGGTGTCCGTTTGGTTGCGCAAAACTGCATACATTTTGTTGGTAGCGGCGACTGGTTGCGCCGCCATGGTGTCCCGGTGAAATATAGCCCTTAGGGACAAAAATGCGTACATCAAGCCTCCTCAACCCGTCTGGCCAACTTGGGGAGTGTAGACCAAATCATCTATTTGCCTCTGGTAAATTAGAGAGTCGTGCTCCTGGGGACCTGATAATGATACTTAGCTAAATTATGAAGTAAAGTTTAGAAAGAAAGAAAGAAATAATTTAATTGATGCAAGTAAATCCTTACAAAATACAATAAGTAACAAGTAAAACCATTCTACGGGGTATAGGCTCCAATATACCTACTTAAATAATATTATTCTTGACGTTCATAAAAGCTAATTTCGGCTTAAGGTTAATTATCCAAATAATAATAAATTATTATTTATTCATTATTTGAGATTATTATTTATGAAATATTTAATTAATTCATAAATTATTATTTATGAATTCATACCTAAATATAACTTTTTTTTCCATTTTATCAACAGGAAATGACTACCAAAAGCTTAATAGTGCTTATATGCGTGGCGGTTCTCTTCCGGGAATCGAACGCGCGACCGCCCTGGCTCAGCCAAAACAGCGACGTGTTCAGGCAGTCCGCAGAGTGTCATACAGACGTAAGTTACAAATACATTATTTATAATTAGGGTAAATACCCCCTTTGTAGCGCTACTGTACCTGTTTTGGCCGCTAAAGGTTGATGTACTTTTAAAAAACTGTATAAAAATACACATAAATTTATACAGTACCAAAATAAAATAAAAAAGTACATTGCAAAGAATAGAGATGGCTAAAACAGGTATTTCTGTCCCACTTTCCTGTAATACCTACCTACCTGTATTTCATTATATTTTTTTCTTACAATTATTTGAGTATGTTTTTCAAGTAGTTAAAGGCTTTAGTTTAAAAGCGCTCTTACACGTCCCAGAATAATTTTGAGTCTACTGCTTCGGGATAATATTGTGTCAGTTCTGAAAAGAGTCAGTATAAGAAACTGACTGAGTTTTTGTCTGCCTCTTTTTCAAGAGTTATTAATAAATGATAATAGATTATACTGATCAGAGCTACGCAGTTATAACATTCCAAACACGTTTGTCTTTTAATTTTCTGCGTTAAATTAATATTTTTTAATAGTTTTCTCTACAACAATTACCTAACAAACTACGTCATCGTATTACAAGTTACAAGGTATTAAATCTATTTTTGCGCTATCACGTTTTTCAAATTAACCTAACGGGATATCAAATTTACACCTGTCGATCAACGATAGCCAGTCATACCTATAATCTATACAACATATAATAATGTTGATAAAATACATAGGCAATAATGAATTGCTAGTTGCTTAGAATCTTTGAATCTTTAGCATTAACCTCGAGAACAGTCTAAAAAAAATTGAGAAAATTGTCATAAAAATTTTACTCCGATATTTTTCTTCTATCAGCATCTAAATGCAGCCTAGTAGGACATCAATCGGATAGACTACCCTAAAATTAAATAAATTAATAAAGAATCTTACACTAGTCTTTAAATTTACCTACGATTGTTAAAGTATTAAAACTTTATACGTGATATAATATTTTAATCGTAAAATATCTCTCGTATCGGTTCCCAGGTCACGAGTCAAGTACAAAACGATCTCACAATGTATACATTGTATGTTATTATTTTTTTGCGGGCTACATTAGACAATATACCTAATTCGTTTAGTTTTTAGCATGCTACTTAGTAACACACTATTATTATGTATGTACTAGTATTCAAATTTCAAGTCTCTTTAAACATATTGGCCCTTTTCAGGGTTCATGTACCAAATATAACTTGTCCTACCACCACTTTATAAAATGCAACAAAAACTCAAAATAAGTACTGTTTACTTTGGGACAACATTTATTGACTGGTGCTGAGAAAAAATGGCAGAAAACACCGAGTCTGAGTTTCACCAACTTATTTTAACTATCACAATGACCGGTGTTTTTTATATGGAATTCGACACTTTTTTGACGCAATTCAGCCTTAGTTACTTGTCAGCCTCTTATTTATAATTACTCCGTAAAGTAGGAGTTGGCTCTCAATCCCTTCTGGCTAGTGTGGGGACTGTAGGCCAAACCCTTTATATTTTCCTCTGGTGAATTGGAGAGGGTTCTCTTCCTGCAATGCAAATGACCTTATGATGATGATTTTGGGTCATATGCTTCCAATGTTAACTCTTAAAACCTTCATAAAAGTACAAGAAATAGAGTTGAGGACTGCCGCGGTTGCTCTAAGTTCAAAATGATTATCATTATTTTGTGAATTTTCTAGACGTTCCTATTACCAACAACCATGAACATTGAAATACGGAAACAAATCCGTTAGTTTGCCCTCGAATAAGTAAACATGTGAGACAACGGATGTTATAATTATAATCAATTAGGTAGTCAATTAATGCTGTAATCATTAAAATTTACACGAAGTCATTAAATATAATCGATTAAAAACTCATAGTCACAAGATTATTTTATCAATTTCCAGTTATGAGTTGATTAAACCGGTTGAAGGTTTGTTGTATTAGAGACAATATAGAGTCAATATAGGTTCAAGTTAACCATGTGAAATCATTTGTTTAATGTATTTACTTATTATCTAAATCGACGCTTGACCTGACACCTATTTATGTAATGAACAACGCGCTCTAACGTGTTATGAATACTTATGTACATAAATACCTACTCGTGTCTATTCGATTGTACATTTTATAGGAAGCCTCTAGGGTCGACTGGTTAACATCAGCTCTCTTGGTTCGGATCCTAGGTTTGATTCTTAGGAGGACTAAAAAAAAACTTGAAACTAGAGTCCAACGTTTTTACTTCAAAAAGGTTGATCATTTCTTACCCGATTTGCACTGGATACAAAGTGGAGTATGACTTGAGCTACCCCACAGTAATTGGTCTTACGTTATAATCTCAGGATTAAACGACAATATTAACTACCTATAGTATAGTGTTACCATGCTGCTTCTTATCAAGCTTGACTTAAATTATTGTCCTGAAGCAGTGGTAGATAACGTAAAAGAATTATGTTAGGACTTGGGACGTATACATGTACAGTCACGGAAGTCAAGTTCAATACAGTCACGGAACAGTCAAGGTTCGTCAGTTTTGAAATTGATTCCTTCAACGAATCGCGAGCACATATTACCTTTTGAAACTATGTTANATTATTAGTAATTTGTTATTACACAAATTACTAATACTCCCGTTAGCCCCTCGTACTAAGCTAAATATGCTTGTGTCACGAGTGAGCTCACCACAATAGTCGAGCGGCGGCGGGGACCGAACCCGCGTTCCCCGGATCACGAGTCGGCCAGTCCGACCCCTTCACCGTTCGGCTATCGTGGCTTAAATGCAGCCTAGTAGGACATCAATCGGGTAGACTACCCTAAAATTAAAAAAATAAAGAATCTTACACTAGTCTTTAATGTACCTATGATTGTTAAGTATTAAAACTTTATACGTGATTTATTTTAATCGTAAAAAATATCTCTCGTATCGGTTCCCAGGTCACGAGTCAAGTACAAAACGATCTCACAATATATTGTATGTTATTATTTTTTTGCGTGCCACATTAGGCAATATACCTAATTCGATTAGTTTTTAGCATATTGCTTAGTAACACACTATTATTATGTATGTACTAGTATTCAAATTTCAAATCTCTTTAAACATATAGGCCCTTTTCAGGGTTCATGTACCAAATATAACTTGTCCTACCACCACTTTATAAAATGCAACAAAAACTCAAAATAAGTACTGTTTACTTTGGGACAACATTTATTGACTGGTGCTGAGAAAAAATGGCAGAAGACACCGAGTCTGAGTTGCACCAACTTACTTTAACTATCACAATGACCGGTGTTTTTTATATGGAATTCGACACTTTTTTGACGCAATTCAGCCTTAGTTACTTGTCAGCCTCTTATTTATAATTACTCCGTAAAGTAGGAGTTGGCTCTCAATCCCTTCTGGCTAGTTTGGGGACTTAGCCCAAACCCTTTATTTTCCTCTGGTAAATTGGAGAGGGTTCTCTTCCTGCAATGCGAATGACCTGATGATGATGATAATTGTGGGTCATAAAAATAATAATATTTTATGCTTCCAATGTCAACTCTGAAAACCTTCATAAAATTACAAGAAATAGAGTTGAGGACTGTCGCGATTGCTCTAAGCTCAAAATAATCATTATTTGCGAATTTTCTAGACGTTCCTATTACCAACAACCATGAACATTGAATTACGGAAATAAATCCGTTAGTTTGCCCTCGAATAAGTAAACATGTGAGACAACGGATGTAATAATTATAATCAATTAGGTAGTCAATTAATGCTGTAATCATTAAAATTTACACGAAGTCATTAAATGTAATCGATTAAAAACTCAGTCACAAGATTATTTTATCAAATTTCCAGTTATGAGTTGATTAAACCGGATTAAACCGGTTGAAGGTTTGTTGTATTAGAGACAATATAGAGTCAATATAGGTTCAAGTTAACCATGTGAAATCATTTGTTTTATGTATTTACTTATTATCTAAATCGACGCTTGACCTGACACCTTTTTATGTAATGAACAACGCGCTCTAACGTGTTATGAATACTTATGTACATAAATACCTACTCGTGTCTATTGGATTGTACATTTTATAGGAAGCCTCTAGGGTCGACTGGTTAACATCAGCTCTCTTGGTTCGGATCCTGGGTTTGATTCTTAGGAGGACTAAAAAAAAACTTGAAACTAGAGTCCAACGTTTTTACTTCAAAAAGGTTGATCATTTCTTACCCGATTCGCACTGGATACAAAGTGGAGTATGACTTGAGCTACCCCACAGTTGGTCTTACGTATAATCTCAGGATTAAACGACAATATTAACTACCTATAGTATAGTGTTACCATGCTGCTTCTTATCAAGCTTGACTCAAATTATTGTCCTGAAGCAGTGGTAGATAACGTAAAAGAATTATGTTAGGACTTGGGACGTATACATGTACAACATTTTTTAATATCTTCGTAAATCCATCAAAGTAAGCTAGTAAAATATGCTTTTGTTAGGAGTGGGTTTACCACAATAATCCAGTGGTTGACCGAAATCGAAATAGTATTCTTCAAGTCCTAGGTTAGGTTGTTGTTGCTTCTCTAAAATCAGCAATCTATTTTTTAACACTATCAAATTACGAATGTGGATTACTCGTGCGTTTACCCTACGTGTGTTCTCATTTTTTAATTCATTTTTTTCTTCTTTCCAGGACGAGCTCCTAGACCTCTGCCAAAGGTGTGCCAAGCTGACCAAGTCCAAGCTAGCATTACCAGCTTGCTGTTCAACTGATATGGAAGCCAGGAAATGGTGTTCAGACTACGTTTACTTCGGGCGAGGGGAATATGACTTCTATGCCGATTGAAATAGAGAATAGTATTGCATGTGTTTTACTTGTAGGATCGTGTGTTGTGAGCGGTCCATAATGAGTTGTGTGGATTTTCCTCCTGGCCTTAGCTGTCTTGGAGTTATAAGAACAATCGTTAAAAAATAGGAAAAAGAACTGGTTGTGATTTATAAAGTGCTTTTAAAAAGTCTAATTGCAAAAATAAATTAATAAGAAACTCATAAAAACAACATCGTGGCATCATAATATTTAGTTGTGATTTTAATCCTATTTTGCAAAAGAAAAACGTTTGTTAAAAAATGTAATGAGATTGAAAACCGTACAAGATTTTTGACATTTATTTTTGAAAACCATGCTAAATACTTTGTACTGAAATAAAGCCTTTGAATTATTTACTGAATTATTAATATTCACAATAAAATAATGTAATTTGGTTAACTACAGCAGTTATTCATTAATTGTATGCTTATTAAGTTAGGCCAGGTTTTTTCTCAATTTTTAGGTATTTTGGGCCTTAACAGCGGACCTGTGAATGTTGTTGTGCATGTATTATTATACTTATATTATAATAATAATTAAGCGTATTCCCTAAAGATTGTTGTTACCTGTGCTATTTCAAAATGTGATATTATTATTAAAATACAATAATATTGTCCATTATTTGCCTTCAGGCACTTTTTGTGATATCTATTTTTAGTAGAAAATCTATATTTGAGACATAAATTATTGAGAAATGTTCGTAAACAATATTATTGGATAAATGTTGGTTATGTTCTTTCTCTGTCTTAAATATGTACATTGGCTGTGATAATCTAAGAATATAAGTTAGAAAATATATAAAATTAATAAATAAACAATTAAAATAAGAATTGTTGTTTCTTTTATTAAAAAAAATGTGTTGAACAGAAATACGTACCTTTTGCCTGAATTTTTATTTTTTGAGAAATTCTAAAATTATTCCATTCTGACGTTTTGTATATCTTGTGAAAATATATTGTGATTTTTAATAAAGAGTAATATCATAAAGAGGAACATATTTCATAATAAAGAGGAACATATTTCATAGCGGAAATGCATTTGCCTAGTATGGGTACGACTTATACGAACAAATTATATAGTAACCTCTTGGTAAATCGGCTCGACAGGGATGCCTATCTATGAAAATTGTAACTTTTATTATGTTTTTTCTTTGTTTCTTTGTAGAACGCAACTGTTTGATTACTAATTTAATAGACTGACCGCATCAAGCATTGCAAACAAACCTCAGTGGTTTATGCCAATGCATTTAATTGTAATATGTTTAAGAACTTCCTTTGTAAAATGATAAAAAATGAAAAAAAAAAATCTATCTGGCTATAAAAAGCCTAAACAAGCAGTGTAGCACTTTAGATAAACCTGAAGTTAGATATATTTTTCTACCGAAGTCTACAGTGATGTTGGTGAAATGAAACAAATCATTAAAAATCCATAAATTAATTTATTAACACTATTTGACAATATTATAACAAGTTGTATGTACAAAACTTTACTAACTTTACCGTATTTTTGTCTAATTTTAGTACAGTCGGCGCATTGTGAGTTGGTCATACTATTTTTATTTTTTGAACCAAAAAAAAGATGAAACTTTGGACACATTTTTTTTTATAACGAGATGTTTATAAAAAAGTTTTTAGAGTACGTAGAATACGACCAACCCAGTCTGCACACTTAATTTTTATAATAACAAAATTGAGCACAATTTGTGTAGTGCCTTCTGAATTATAGTTAGAAGAGTGGAACATTTTAAAATGTAGGAAAAAATACATTAAAATACATTTATAATGGCATAAAACATTATTGCTTAATTTTTCTTGTTTACTATATTTTTTTTAACTTGAAATGCAACCTTAAAATAAAAACTTCCCACATTTTAAGAAGTTCCACTTGACTATTTACATTAGTTTGTAATAAACATTTCTAAATTATTAAGTACCGTAGATTTTTTTAGTCTCACAACGTATTTTCTTAGTCAAATGTTAAAAAGTTAGGGATTGTCGAAAAAATTATTTAAATTTTAATATTTTTATTCATAGGAAGGACAACATTTCATACTATTATCACAATAAATTTAAATAATATTTAATTATTAAACCAAGCAAAGTTAAATCTCGCTGTGAGAACATCAAATGCTTAAAAACTAAAAATTCGTACTTCGTTGGTGTCTGTATAAAAGTAAAAATAAATAAATATTAAAAATAAATGCCGATTGCACTACGGGCCACAGATTAAACAGACGTAAAATTATTTATCTTTTTTAATTTCCATCCGTGTCTTTGGATAGTTTTTGACTAATAGTTAAAATTACAGTAAATTTTACAACAATTTACATTTTTTTGGTATATTTTATTCCAGACACGACTGAGTTGAGTCCAAAATGGAATAAATAAAACTTGTGTAGTTCTCTAAAGATCCGCTAGACGTCGTGTTTGGTGTAAAATATCAGTATTTTCCCCGTTTGGACGGATGTTATATTCTAACATGTCATTCTACCAAAGCTTTGGGTGCGGGTTTGGTTCCTTAGCTATTCAAAATTAGTCTGCATTAATTAAATTAAGATTTTTTTTATTGAAAGTGTTGCTTTCCTAGTTTTCATAGACTCAAAAGAAGAAAAAGGTTTGGCAGGTTATTTTATTTACTTTTATTTTACAAAATATTGTGGCTTAAAATACCAAAGAAATATTATAAATACATTTTTCCTTTACTTGACATACTTACTAGACTTTTGTTCTTGTTTTTTCATTATATGACAACGTATAAATTCATATTACCTACTTTATTAATAGATTTTAATATTGTTATCTTTTAATTTTGAATAGCAAAGGATGTGAACACTACACATGTGATTCCGATAATATACCCTGTTCTCATAAACGGGATAAGACGTGTTGTTTTCGAATTCATAAGCGTTTCCAAGTAAAAAAACATGATTTTTAGACCAATATAAAGTTTTTTTTTGTATGTTACAACTTTTTTTATTGGACCAAAGAATTCATTTACGTATCCAAACCAAAGAAAGTATCAAGAAGTTTCTTGTAATAAAAAATAAACATTTAAAAATGTCTTTTTGAGTTAAAAATCATGTTTGTTACGGGAAAATCGCATTGAAATACTTTTTACAATAAGAAAACTAAGTTTTATTTACAATAATTTGAGTATTTCTAGTCTGTACATTTATGGGGTTTTCTTGTTCGCATTGATTTTACATTTTATCTTTTTATTTGCCGCCGACTACATGTTTTTTACGGAGATATAATATTTTGATACTACAATAGAAGTCTATTTCATAAAAGTAATAATATATCATTTGATATAATATTTATTAAGAAATATACTGATTTACTGTGAAAATATAACAATACCGACACTGAATGCATCCACATGGAAAGGTTTGGCCAAATTAAAAAAAAATATGTAAAAAAGTGAACAAAAAAAATGAAGTTGTTCAAATTTTTTGTATCAAAATGTAAAAAAATCAAAGCAGATCGTCGTCGGAGTTCTGTTTATCGTATATCTCCTGCAGCTTCTGCTGTTCCTTCACCTTCTTCATCTGTGCGTAGATGGACGCGGCTTTGTAGTTGATCGGCCCGTAGTCTTTCATGTCGGCGTCGGCGTATATGAACTGGTCGTCGGGTCTGAAGGGCTGGAATGTGAAAATTAAAAAAAATATGTAAAAATATGTACAATTCTTTTTACATTTTTTGGGCCTCGGTATTTTCTGGGCAAGTTCGCTCTACCATTATCAATCGCAAGAGCCTATTCCTTTGAAAAATCCTTAATTTTTCTAAGATAGATAGTTGATGAAGAATATTTAGTTAAAACTATTTTGAAGCTTTTTCAAAAGTAATCGTTACCATTAATAATTTTTTTAATTTTGAATATTTGATAGCCAAATATTTTTCTCAAGTTAGGTCACTTAGAAAAAATGTCCATAAGACAAAAAAATCACAAAAATTAGAGGATAATGATTTAGCAAGTATTTTTTTAAATACGAATATTAACTAAGTAATGGTAATATGTGTTAAGTGAAAAACCAAGCGTGAGTTTTTATTAGTCTAAAAAAATTAAAGTACTTTTTTTTAAACAGTTGCAGATAATATTGCACTTTTTTAAATTAATCAGTTAATGTATTAATAAGCAGTGAATTTTAAGCGATTTGGAAATAATTTTGAAATTACCTTATTTTAATAAATGTATGTGTCACTCTTGGTAAAGCGTTCCTAGAAATAGAAAATAATAAAACGTCACAACACTGCGAAATCATGCTTTTAACAGTTTCATAGGCAATTTAATTTCTTCGGAACCATGCTTGGGAAGCAGATAAAATCACTTGGCACATATTACCATAATTTATTTTATTTTTTAAAACAAAAGTTATCTCCATAACTATTTTTTTTGTAAAAAAAATAAACTTGAAAATCAACTTAGTTTTCATCTAAACCTTAAACAGAAAGTATTTTTCTAACAACAAAAGATTAATATAATACCATCTTTTTATAAATTAATATAATACCATTTCTCTTTGCTTGGGCCTTATCGTTTTTAATTTTTTCGTGAAATTAGTATTGATAAATTAGTTAAGAGTCATAAGGCACGTGTCATAACTTATGACACGTGCGCGATAAGATGACACCTGCGTGAAATAGGATTCCCCCTCCCACTACTCCGCATTTCTCCCAAAAAACCCGAATTGAGTAGGCTTTACCCTAAACAAATTTTGTGACGTCACCGTTCACTCAGGTCTCAACTTATCGCGTTGGTGTAGATATACGAGTATACCTAGATCGGATATTCGATTGCATATTTTTATCTTAAGTGAATAATAGAAAACACTTTTTTTATAATCCGCGATTTTGGTTTCTAAGTCACTTTCGCCCGTTACCCATTATCAATCCTTATCGAAATCCGGATTTTAACTGTCTTCGAATCTGGTTTCGATCAAATATCCATAATTTTTGATGCGGTTACACTTTAATATTGTTTAAATAGTCTTATTAAACAATTTGGAAACGTAAAACAATCGAAATCCGTAGATATTGTGCACCAATAGTGACACATCAATTAGGGACTTTATTGAACTCAATTTTTAGCTGTGTTTTAGATGCTTCCATTGCTTAGCCAAGGTAAACTTTAGGTGAATATCCGATCTAGTATTTAGTTATGAATTTGACAACTTACCTCTCAGACATCGATCTCGTTGAATTTGAGTGTGGCGTAGTCACTCCTTTGCTGACTGTGGTTCCCCTTTCTTTGATTGGACGCGCTACCCTTATAACTACTGTTAGTTTCTTTGCTACAGCTATCGCTACCTATAGTGTACGTATCATATAAATGTCTATTAGAATTGACTGTGTTCTTAAACTTCAAATTATGATTGCCTAAAGCTAAATCTGCATACACTAATTTCTTATGTTTAGGTTTGTCTTCCTTAGGACCGACTGTGTTGTAGTTCGGACTGAAATTGTGCTCAGGACCTAGGTTTCTAGTGGAATTTGATATGTAGTTGCCTTTGAGGAGTTGCAAATACGATCTTCTCTCTGATTCATTGTACTCGGGCTCTGGGTAGTCCGGTTTCTCGTAGTTGTCATAAACACCAACACAGGACAGTTTTTCTCTAAGGCTCTCTGATTTTTTTAGACGATTCAGTTTCTGGTTGTTCTTCTCTCTACTTCTGTTCAATGTTTTGGTGTAGTACTGAGTGTCTGCAGGCTGTTGGTATATCAGTGGTCCTATCGTGTTATTGTACGACCTCTCCTGGTCTACAGGAATTCTCTTATCTACTCTTATAGGCTGAAAGTAACAAAAACTGTGATGCTTCTGAAGTGGTATTTGGAAGTTTTTCTTATTTTTCCCTTTCGAGCTTAGGTTAGTAAAATGGTTGCGTTTTTGCATGTACTGCTGTTGTAGTATGTTAGTATTCTGAAAACGAAAATATTAATATGTTAGTAAAATGAGTTGAGGCAAGTGTAAGGGGCGATGGAAGAGAGAAACAAAATAAAAATCAAGAAGCATTGTATACCTGACCGTTTTCTAAACTAGTTAAAGCACTTTGTACTGAATTGCTCCGTCGCACGATCGACCTCTTTGGTATAGGCTTTTCAGCCAGTTTTGGTATTTGTAAAGTCTTATTTGGCGCTATCACTTGCTTCTTTGGCAACCCCACTTTGTTTATACCAGCTTGATCATTCAATTGACTAACTACTGATTTCACTAACGAAGTCGATGGCAGAGTTATCGACAAATTTCTCTTAGGAGTAGCACCGATTATATTTGGTTTGACAAAGTCTGGTTTTTCATCATCTTTCTCTTCATCACTATCGTCTTCAAGTTTCTTATCCCCATCACTTTTGTTCAGTCTTGATTCTGGGATTGTTTTGTCTTTTCTAGGAGGTTTAAGTTTTGAAATATCTTCAGCGGATTTAGAAGATCTGACTGGGGCGTCAACTGTATCGAAGGACTTTGAGAACTTTGTGCTTATTAGTGGCATTGATAGATTGACGTATACGTGATCAGATTTGGCTGGGGAGCTTAATGGAGATATTTTCGTTCTAGGAGCAGGCACTGGTCTATTCAAAGAATTCGTAGATAGATTTATCTGTTCTTTGCTTTCTTCGCACACTTGTATAGAGTCAGTCAAATTTTCGAATTGCTCAACCCCGCTTACATTCGATTTGATCTTCAATAGTGAAGGAAAGTTAGCGTATATTATGTCTTGGTTAAAAACTATATTATCATTATCTGAATCACCTTGACTATCTTTGTTATTGTTAATTTCAGTGAAATTCTCCCCATACTCTGTGTTAGGATAAAACCTTTCAATATTTCGTTTCCTAACGACTCTCATCGATTGAAATTGCGGTGGTTTTCTATGAATATTTCTAGTATTCAATGACGAAAACTTCCTAGTGTTATCTCCATCAGATATTTCTTCATCAATCGTCGGAAATTGCTTTAGAAATGACGTTTGCATCGGAGGCAGGTATGGGTTCAGTAATACAGTTTGGTGTAGAGGGTACATTTGCTGTATAGGTGACAATACTGGTATACCAAATGCTGGGTATTGCGAGTTCGAAGGGGATGTCATGGGATACGGCATTGAGTTCTGCATAAACGGGGGGCAGACCAGTCTTGGCGTGAATGAAGGGTTAGTTGTCAGTTGTTTTTGCAGAGTTTCGATTCCTTTCGCAGTTCTTTGGTTCATGTCGATGACCCTTGGCTGTATCGCTTGTACGGGCTTTGTTACGCATGCCAAAATAAAACATGAAACGAACAAAACAAAAATGTTAAACATGCAACACAATGAGTTAGGCAAAAAATAAATTTAAATAAAAATGAAAAGGGGACAATATTATTTCTATGGTGCAGACAGCACATCAAGCTAAATACCGTGGCATCTTATTTAGTTGTCATAGGTGCTATTTTGTCACAAAAAAATACAGTCTGATGTACTGTCGATTGCACATGTAACTTGAAACTCTTGATAGGTACATTAGTATTAAGTTAAAAGCGGAACTATGTAAATTATGATTTTTTACTAAGCGCGACAAATTCTTTGTTATATTCAACTTTATGGAATGTTATGATATCTCAGATTAAATTATTTTAGAATATTCATAAAATTATTTTACCTTATTTGGAGGTTGCTGTAGGCCATGGAACGGCAGGTTCTCGTAGAGTCCCGGGTTGTCCGCTCCAAGGGTTCCGTTCACAGCATTATCTACGCCATTCGTAGGTGGGCCTGGAAAATTTTCAATATACACATTAATTACATGAAAACATTTTGAGTAAAGCCTAGAATATAACTTGGCTATGACGAACGTATTTTTTCACAAATTCTAATGACCATCTCAAAACTCGCAAAGCATTCCAATTTTTACAGTCAAAGTTACTTAACTAATTTTAATTCTTTCGATTCCTAATAACGTGCATATTGTTCTTTGAGATCATTATGGAATTCATCAATATACAAGTACACCCTACCTAATCAGTGCATTCACTCATACCAAACGTGTATTCTCAAACTAAAAAAAAAAACAAGCAAAACAAAACAAAACCATGCTACTTACTGTCGTCGCCCGGCTTTTTTCGCTTCCTAGTATTCTTCGAAGACGTTTGATCGTTAAAAGGTTTTATTCTAGCACTGGTCGCAATTCGGTCAGGCCTTTTAAATGATACCACTAAAAACATGCGCATTTTAAATATTAATGCAAAACACACACAACATACTATTTTTTCCAAACACATAGTACGCTCTTTTTGCTAAAAATATTCAATATCGAATCTACTTAATTCTCTAGAAAAGAAAAAGAGGTTGTGTATTTGGAAAAAAAATCCAGCAAAATTAAAGAAAAAGCAAAATTATAAGTAAAAGATGCAGGAGACGATGGTAGAGAAAGCGTTTGGTTTCAGAAGTGTGTTGTGATATAGCTTGATGATGTACTAAACAATACATTGATCAAAATGTTACGACATTACAATGATAGTAATACAGTGGATGATTTTTATGAAATCTTTTTATAAATTGTCTAATACATCATCTTTTAAAGTGTGATGAAAAGTGTGTAATGTAATGAACAAAATCTACCTCCTTCTGTTACAATAACATTCGGTGTGTCACTTTGAAATAATGACCTAAGTCTACTCTTTGGTACACTATAGCCTGTTTTGTTCAAATTCATTAAAGATACGGCTCTTTTGTTGGATTTATTGATTTTCTTATATTTTCCACTGTCGTCGGAATCGTCGCTTTTCCTTCTGAAATTCTTAAGAAGGCCAGATACAACGTTTTGTGTGTGTCTCCTTGGCTTACCATTTTTCTTTGAATACTCCGATTTAGGCGGTGTCTTTTCTTCTTCTTTAGTATTTTTCCTTTCAAGAAGTCCCAAATTAGCTTCTTCAGCATCCTTATTTTGATTATTATTATTGTTATTTACAGTTTGCAGTCTAGCTTGATTTTTAGGGCTAAGCGTGTGGTTTGAATTTACATGAACCAGAACTCCAGGCTTCACAGGCCATTTGCTAGGCGTCACTACAGTTTGTGCTTTATTTCCTTCAACTTTTGGTTCAGTTTTGGGAGTTTGTGCAGTTTCATTTTCTTCACTGGATTTTATAGTGGCTTCCAGTTGTGATAGGTTTGCTTGCAAGCTGCTTGTTACCGGTTGTTCTTTGAATTTATTCATTTCTAGGCTGTGTGGGTAGCTGGAGTCGACTAATCTAGTCCTGTCTGAAGACTTAGGACTGAACGATAGGTTTAATCGTGGTGATAAAGCAGGCAAAGCTTGTGATATAATTGACTGAGCTATCGACACCTCGTTTATACAGCTACCATCCGGACTGAATGAAATAAAACATGGAAAGAAACAAAACGATGTTAAGATGAGGCGAGTTAAAAATGAAAACTGTTAAACATAATAGTCGTGATTATTATTGACTGATTTTTGTATGAACTTGTAGGTAAGGAAATTTTTTATCTTGCTCAATTTGTAATTGTCACTATCATAAATGCCTATAAATAGGCATCATATGATCATACTTAATAATGCGTATCATTGTAAACCTTGAAAGATAAAAATATTATATCACATCGTAATACTTTGATAATGCAATGCGTGTCAGCTATCACAGAACAAAGTTTATCATAGAGCAACATTAGATCTCCGAAAAATTATCGAAATATTAAAATATAAGCAAAAATCTGTCAATAATGTCATTGTAAATGAGTAAAAAACCAAAACAAATCTATAACAAAACACAAAAATATGAATTTATAATACGAACTCGAGATTATTGGTTTTATAAAATTGCATAAAAATAAAACGTACATAATAACAAGATAAGAATAGTAATACATTTTAATACGTGTTACAAAAGAAAAGAAAATAAATAAATAGATACAAACAGTCTAGAAGAATGCTTTCCACAGCATACATGCATTTTTATTTCAAAATACAGTAACAATTTTTGTTCAACACTACTTCAAATTCTACTTAAAAACCACACAAAGTTTATTCAACTTTATACGAAAAATAGCCAAAGAGCGTCAAAAAATAAGAAAGCATTCTCCATCTATCAAAGAAAACGATACGAAATATAAACGGTTATTTGTTAGTAAGATATACCTGAACTATTTATTGTTGTCAGTCTGAGTACATCAGGGGTTAATGCGGTTAGGAACCTACAAAAATAACCAGTTATAATAAACAAATATATAAAAATATACCCTGTTATATAACCAGGAACCCGTGTTAGTATGTTTAGAGTTTATGAGAACATGCTACTAGAATTCTAATGTTTAGTTGTATCTAAACTTTGCTAGGATTAGTCAGACGTTTTGACCTTGAAATGAAGAAAACTATCAGCCGTTGGTCCAAGCATTTAGCAATATTACAGGCGAAAACCAAACTCGTAGGTACTGGAAAATATATGACCTTGAAATGGGTACTATCAGAGGAGACCGCGTTGGAGGCATCGACAACGTATGCCAAGAATCTGCCCGGACCAAGGGCGTAGCTGAAAATGTCCATATCTAACTAAATATAAGACTAGAAATAAATATATAAATTAAAATATAGTTCTAAGTCCGTCCACTAACGAACACTACTGTTGAAATACTAGAAGAAAATAAAGAAGAAAAAAGATAATAAATAAAATTACTATAGACTCCTAAGATAATAATAATGCTTGTTGTATACAGTGTGAGTCACGTTAAAGTGTACATATGAAAATAGATGAAACTAGACCTATTTTTATCGACAAAAAAGAGGTCAAAAAATTTTTGAGTTTTTTTTTTAATTTTTTGTAGAATTTTTTTTCTTCCAATTACTTATTGTAAAGAAAACGTAATAACTATTAAACTAAGCGGTATATCCTGATAAAATAAAAACAGTAATAATGCTAAATAACAGGCAATACTAAAAAAATACATAAAATACATAAAAAAGGCCATCAAATAATAAAAAATTAAACTTTTTGAAAAAAATCTGCTTCTAAATTCGTGTTTTTTTGGTTATTTGATAAATTTCTCCAAAAAATGCCCCTATAACCGGTGGTTTTTATTACTTTGTATTATTCTCTATCGTATTACCTTCGTAAAACCAAAAATCGCATGTCTATCCCTATCACAACGTTTGCAATGATCGTTTGAACAAAGGCCTGCCACAACATTTTTCTCCGCTACAGTTAGAGACAATTTTAATTTTAACTAAAATGCTTATTTTACTTTGAAATCTTTTTGCATTTTTTGGAGAAATTTATCAAATAACCAAAAAAACACGAATTTTTAAGCAGATTTTTTTCAAAAAGTATCATTTTTTATTATTTGTTGGCCTTTTTTGTGTATTTTATGTATTTTTTTAGTATTGCCTGTTATTTAGCATTGTTACTGCTTTTATTTTATCAGGATATACCGCTTAGTTTAAAAGTTATTACGTTTTCTTTACAATAAGTAATTGGAAGAAAAAAAATTCTATAAAAAATTAAAAAAAAAACTCAAAAATTTTTTGACCTCTTTTTTGTCGATAAAAATAGGTCTAGTTTCATCTATTTTCATATGTACACTTTAACGTGACTCACACTGTATTTTGTAAAGTTATTCTAATAAAATAATAATAAAATAAATAAACCTTAAATGTACAACCCACGTCATAGTGTTGATTGTTTAACATTTCTAAAATTAGTAGTTTTATCACAGTTCATTATTAATTATTTATTTTCTAAACTATGCTTCATTTAATTTCTAAAAATGCTATGAATTCTATCATCTATAAAGTAATTTTGAAAATGAGACGTTTTTCAAATTAGATTTCTGAGAAAATTTTATAAAATTATATAAAAATTCTAAACCAAACTTACTTTTCCCTCTCTTCGAGTTCCACCGGGTTATTGTCTGTTTGTTTGTTTTTAATGTTAGTCGCGTGAAATGTGTCGTTAGGGCAGCGTCCGGGAAAAAATAAACAACAAAAACAAAACAATTAGTTTTGGCAAAACAAAACGCAAACATGTTATTGCTGGAGACGGCACGAACAACATTGATACAATTGGAGTTTTTAGTTTCTTTCGTCAAAAGAAAAATTTCGTTATTTACATAACTTAATTAATTTAATTTCAGTTACGTTGTAAAACATAATGCTACTATTTGTTGAAAAGATTTATATAAAAACTAAAAACTCTCTTTTGCTATGTTTTGATAAACAAATGTTAATGGTAACTACATCTGGACGAAGGCAAGTACTTATGGGAATGGCTATTATTTTACAAATGGGGTGATGCTACAAAATTTATTAATATGTAACACATAATTAGGAGACGAACAAATCAAAATACAGTAAAGATAGCTCTACACAGAAAAAAAATGTAAATTTTAGTCATCATAATCTCGAATAATTAAGTAAATCACTCAACGACTATTATTATAATTATTAAACTCCTGTTATCAATACAATCACAAAGATCAAAGCCAATGAAATGTACGTGAAAACTTGAATTTTACAGACAAACAAAAAAATACAGCAACGAAACAAACGACCCAGTCATCGTAGATTAAAAAAAATGATTGCCAGAATGCGTAAATCTTTCCCAGAATTTATAAACGATTGCCAGAATGCGTAAATTGTTTCAAAATTTATAAAACAAGTGAACCTACATTTGGATTTGGCTCGCATCCGCCGACAGACGCAGATGATGATGATGCACAGGATCACGGTGATCACGAGTACCGCCAGCGCGATGCCTCCGATCAGGATCAGCTTGTGTTGGTCGCGCCACCACGGGACGATGCCTAGAGATTTAAAATAATGATAACTTGTTAACATTTAACTAAGTAGACAGTCTTATGGTGAATGAAGATCAAAATAGATTTGAACTGGTAGTTCGTTGCTTAAATATTGAGTTATTGTCGCCAAATTTTGTCGATATAATTATGATTTTTATGTCTCGATCATCATTTGAACAGTCCAATTTCACAAAAAACGCCATAAAACTTTCCAATGCATTGATCTTGAAAATAATTTTGTTCTACCTATATTTTTGTGTTTAATTGTTTCTACGGATTCCTTGTCCACTTACCAAAACTTCCTAAGTTAGCTATAATAGAAAACATTGAATGAAATTCAGAAGTTCATTTCCCAAGCACCAATTTAATGTAAGACAAAACTATATTACTCATTCAAGATGCTTATAAAATACATTGTAGTGTCCCAGAACATGTAAACTATTCTGGCAAGATTTTTTACTTGTTTAAACCAACCTGGCACGTCCATCTCGCATCTCGTCATGCCGACGGTGTTGTTGGCGTAGCACAGATACGTCCTGTAGACGTCGACGCTCGTGCTTAGCTTGAGGAAACTCTGGGAGCCTGACTGACGTATCTCCTCGTACGTCAGACTGTCGTTGTCGTTTTCCAGCTTCCAGACGAATGAGACCTTGAATTTAGAGGTTAGTTTTAGTACTTATCTATGGTAATAAAGTGGTCATACTTACCAGAGTAAATACAAACGAGTAGGTCATCTTCATAGAAACTGACAAAATTTAGCGTGGATTAGCGGGGAGCCAGTCGTGGTTGCGCCGAATTTTGTCAGTGTGTGCGTGCGCGCCGCATATGTATTGGCGCGCTCACATACAAACCGCGCTCGGTGCGTTTCTATGAAGATTACCTACTCATTTGTATTTGTATACTCTGTACCTACATCTTAAATTATTAAGTAATTTATAATAATAAACTCACCTCTGATGGATTAGCATGTGCCGTGCAAACCAAAACTGGGTCGCCATTGATTGTAGTTTTCTTAATTCCACATGCAGGAACATCTGAAAAAGAATAAACAAAAATAATGAAACTTGAACTGAACATATCTGAGGAAGTTTGCAAATGGTTACCTGTTACCTACTTCTTTTAGAGAAAAGCTGTAGTGAATAATTTAACGAAAAAAAAAATTACTGGTGATTTCAATCAAACACTTTGCAACCAACGTTGTTCAATACCTAGCTTGACATTTAGTTTGCAAGAATACTAAATTCTATTGACATTTACTATAAAAAACAATCTGATATCAGTTAAGATTGCTTATTTCTGTTTTTGTGTCATACAAACTTGTAAACAAAACCAGTTTTAACATACTTACACATAACATCCAAAAACACAGTAGTATTGACTGATCCGTGTCTGTTATACGCCTCGCAGACGTAATGGCCGCCGTCCTTCCTCTGCACGGGGCCTAGCAGGAGGGTGTTAGAGGAGGACAGTATGAGCGAGTTGTTGGTGTGCTCCCTCGCAGCACTCTTGCTGGAATGCTCCCGCCGCCAGGAGAAACTTGGCATGGGGAATCCTCTGGAAGTGAAAAAGTTTTTGTTTAAGTTCATAGATGGATGGGTAAAATGTTTATTTCCGAAACACTTGACATTCAGCAAAAAGTGTAAAACAGTGAAACAAACAATAATTGTAGAAGAAGAAAGTAGTGATTTTAGAAAAATAAGAAAAATCCTGCGTTATGATGTGACTTTCAAGAATCCTTTCTTAGTTGATAAAGCCTTATGACTCTCTGCGTATTTTTAAGCGCAATCTGTTTAGTGATTTGAGCTGTGTGTTGATAGGTCAGTTAGTAATAATATTCCTTTCATAGTATGTACATATTTTATACCTTGCAGAGCAGACGACTTTAGCAGGTATCTCGTTTTCAATGACCGACACAACCTTTGGCGAAACTGTAATGTTTTCTGGTTCATCTGAAAATGAATGAAAAATATCCAGTTATTTTGCATAATATTTTTAGGGACTTCTTACATCTACAACGGGTACATTGGGTTGTATACGTATAAAATATTGAACTACATAGTTGCACCTGCTACTTTGTTGGGATAGATCACTCAAATTCAAATTTTTCAGTAATTTTTAGTAGGTTTCAGTAGTTGAATTTTTCAGTAGTTTTTATGTGAAAGTTCACCATATTAAAAACTAGCTGACCTATACGTAGCAGACTATCCGTAGTTTATTAGATAAACTGAAACCTTCACTCAATTTTGGGTAGTCGGGAAAAACATAATGTTATCTCCGTATCAAATGCCATCAAAATCAGTTCAGCCGTGTCTTAGTTACAAATGGTTTAACTTTGAACTTACATTCCACAGCAAACTTGGTGGTGCTATTAACGGGGGGCCCGGCGTCGTTGCGAGACGAGCGGCACGTGTAGCGCGCGGTGTCGGCCGCACGGTCCAGCACTCGCCCAGGCCACGCTGACATGTTCCAGTGCTGTGATAGAAAGGATATTAATAAAGTTTACATTTCGTACTCCTTCGATTCAAAACCCAGTCTTGAACAGAGACTTGACACGATTGATTTTTCTTAGTATTCTGATCGGCTGCCTTAGATGCAAGTTACTCATGTAGTAGAGGTATTGTTCTTGCAACTCACAAAGGCGAGTGAGCTTTAGACATTACACTATCGTCATGTGCATGTACACGTATACACACAAGACGATAGTGTAATGTCTATCAAAACGTTTGAAAAATAAACAGTAGCGAGCCACCACACATGTAAAGCTCACTCGCCTTCATGAATTGCAACAACTATAACCAAACAGTTGTAAAGTATACCCGAATCCCAAAACTCCTTTGGGCGCTCCTACTACAATTTTAAACTGAACTTAGATGATCATGTCAGCTTAAGCAAGTCCATTGCTAAACATAACCCTTTTCCAAGGAACGATGCAAAGCACAATATCCCGTTTTCTAAAATAACTAAAATTCGTTATGAATTCTCCATTGACCAGAATCATTGAACTAGCAACAATTTGTAACTAAAGCCTGGTCCGTGAGCACGTAGTAGGATGGGTAGCTTGGGGTCATTGGACAAAATTCTACGTGCTCACGGACCAGGCTTTAGCATGATCTAAAACTAAGCAAAAAACTTACCAAAGTAGACTCCGTAGCCTCAAAATCGTTCCTATTGACTTGCGGCTCAATCTTCCTGGTGACCACGTAGTAGCGGTCGTTCTTCTCATCGATGACCTGTCCGTCTTTGAGCCACTGCACGCTGCACAGCGGCGCACATTCGACGGTGCAGGAGAGCGATATATTCTGCAAAATCAAAAATATTTATTCAGTTTAGACCACAAGTGGCACTTATGATATATATATACATGTTCAGCAGTGGTCAGTCACTTCATATATATATATATATACACACACACGAGTAACATGGCAAAATATATATAGGTATCGCGCTCAACTCAGTCGGTGCCTGAGGTATGGGAGCAGGGTTTTTCATCAACATCATCATCATCATCATTTCAGCCACAGGACGTCCACTGCTGAACATAGGCCTCTCCCAATGACTTCCACATCGCACGGTTGGCAGCATCCAGCGCCTTCCTGCTACTACTAGGTCAAAGTCAAAGTCAAAGTCAAAATTTCTTTATTTGTTTGGACTAATAAATAGTTCTTACAAATCGTCATTTTGCTCTTAAGGAGCCTCTACATGTCTCATAATCTTTTTACCCTACCAGCGCTTCGAGACCAACATTTGGCAAGTGCTGAGAAGAAGCGCCGCAACAAACTCAGTCACCAACTCGGTCATCGGTCCACCTTGGGGTGGACATCTCACGCCGCGTTTTCCGGTACTCCAGAACCTTGCTGCCCCATCAGCCGTCAGTTCTGCGTACTATGTGCCCTGCCCATTGCCACTTCAGCTTGCTAATCCGTCGGGATAGGGTGTTTTTGTGACGGTGAAATGATGTCAGCGGGACTTCAGATTTGTATGCTCTGTTGTTGTTAGTCACATGGGCGTACCCAGCTTCTGGTCGACTTCCAGCTGCCCCATTGGGTACGCCCATACTATGTCATGTCATAATATAGTAATGTTATGTGTTGCCCCTTCTGTGTCGCTCCCTTACCTCAGGCACTTTTATTGCTGGTTCCTAAAACATCTTTAATTTTTTTAATATAAATGTAGATTTGCGTCAGCTTGAATATTTTTGAGTTATTATTTGTCTTCGCTAATCTGTCCATATGTGTTTATTAACTTACCTGTGATTTGTACAAAGCCCCGCTGTAATGGTTCATTGCATACTTGAAGCTTGGTGGAGCTGAAAATAATAAAAAATGAAATATTAATAACGTAAGAGACATTAATAATACCAGAAATGCATATAAAAACTAATACCAAAAAGACTGAATTATCCACAAACAGCATTATAGCAAATCAATCTGTAGATATCAAATAAAAATAAAATAATCAAGACCCGTCAAAAAAACTATTGATTTTTTTTTCAGAACAGTACTTAAATGGATGATCCTGAAAGCGACTAGGTACTTTATAGACTGAATCGACAGTTTAGTCGCTTAACAAAGCAAATTATAGGATTTAACTTATTATCTTATATTTTACTTATCTTACCTAAAACATCAATAGCCACAGAGGCCAGCTCCCCCTCCCCTCCTGCGTTGGACCCTCGACAGGAGAAGGTGGTTCTGTGGTCTAAGGTCACCGGATCGATCGTCCAGTTCTGAGAAACTATGTCGGGCACTGGCCGGCCTCCACGGTGCCAGCGGAATCTGGAAGAAGGAAAAATCATCATCATTAGAGTAGGCGCACACCGTTGATTTTTAGTTGGCCGATAGTTGAGCCCGATTTTAAATTGTATGAAGAATCGGTCAAATCGAATCGGCGTAGTGTGCGTACTGCCATACATGCCCACACTGATCAACTGCCCGACTAAACTATCGACCGACGAAAAATCAACGGTGTGCGCCTACTCTTAGCCAGTTAGTCTCTATAGCAGAATGACGTCTCTCATTAAGCCTGGAAGAAATTGACGTCAATTTAAGTTCATATTTATGAGTATTGAGGACTTGAATGTCAGACAGACTCAATAAACAATTTGCCAGAATGCTTAAATTTTCTTTTTAACGCATTTCAGTCCAACCAGAAAGATTTATTCCAACAAAAAAACTAAAAGCTATACGATCCAAGTTTTTATTATTAAGCATTGAGAGTCTTAATACTTCAAGGTCAGCCAGACTCGATTAACTATTTGCCAGAATACGTACCTACATTTTCTTTTTAATGAATTTCAGTTCAACTAGAAACGTTTGTTCCAAAAAAAATATATAAAAAGCTACTGCGATACAAGTTTTTATTTATTCATCATCATCATCAACAGCTCTTTACAGTCCACTTCTGGACTATGAACCTCCTCCACTATAGTGGAGGGTTTTGCCATAATCCCCACGCTTGGCAGGTGGGTTGGAGATCGCAGTTTTTCAGAGAGAGCTGCTGCCCGTTCTCTGTTTGATGTGTAGTCCCTAAGTCGCCTACTACTACTAATACGACACCCTCGGGAAGAGTAGGGGTTGGTGACAAATGTATTCTACTATGCCGTCACCACACGGCTTTATTAAGTACCTAGTGCAAAATACTTGTAAATCCTTCTTCTTCATCCATTGTAATGGTAATAAATGTTTTATTTTTCTTCGTAGAATGATCATTGAACTTACCTATGAACTTCCGGCCGTCCCTTCTCCTTGATACTACAGCTCAGTACGAGGCTCTTTCCCTTCACCACTCGCCACGGGGAGTATGTCAGCTTCGCCGGCCCGGGCGGGTCTGAACAAAACAATTAGTTTACATACGAGTAACTATAAAACGAAATCGGGTGAGGGTATACAGGGTGGAATTTTGTAATGCCACCTGGAGGGAAAGTACTCTTAATATTGTAGATAAAAAAATGCTCTCAAAGAAAACATTCCTTTATTTTTGAAAAGAAAGAGAACTGCATTAAAAGATTTTTTTTTTAATTATAACAACCGTTTTTATTTAACAAAGTACAAGATATTTACTTATAATTTAAAAGTAAATTTAAAACTGGAAGGGTATAAATTTATTTTGATCATCGATTTTGAACTTACCACATAGTCCAGTCATTACGTACATTCAAAAAAGAAAATGAATTTGCGCTNATACAAAACTTTGCGCGCAAAAAGCAAATCTAGTATGAAAATTATCAAACTTCTAATGCTCGTAACTCAGTTCAGACTGAGTTTAGAGGTATACATGTCATAGTAAGTTTGGTTTATTACACTATTTTGTAATCAAAAAACAAGGTTTGGTCGATGGCCGCGCGAAGAAAAAAAGACGCCAATTTCCGGCATTGTCTTTTGACTAGTGATGAAGATTTTCTTGTTTTAGTAGTGTGGATTGTAACAATATACATAGTGACATATTTTAGGAAGTTATAGGTGATCATTGTGGGTCGATCTTAAACTCTTCTGAGCATTATGGAATATTAATAAAATTGTCCCAAAGCAGTGGTAGGGTTAATACTGGGACGTGTAAAAGTGCTTTTTAAAAGCCTATTTGCAAAAATAAGTTTTATGGGTTTTTTTTAGTTTCATAATAAAATTTACCTCGGATGGATTAGCATGTGCCGTGCAAACCAAAACTGGGTCGCCATTGATTGTAGTTTTCTTAATTCCACATGCAGGAACATCTGAAAAAGAATAATAAAAATAATGAAACTTGAACTGAAAATATCTGAGGAGGTTTGCAATTTTTTTTTGAGTTTGGTTACCTGTTACTTCTTTTAGAGAAAAATGTACTGAATAATTTAACGAAAAAAAAATACTGGTGATTCCTATCAAACCCTTTGCAATCAACGTTGTTCAATAGCTTAGACCTATATTAGTTTGCAAGAATGCTAAATTCTACTAACACAGGCTATAAAAAACAATCTGATTCAGTAACATTGCTTATTTCTGTTGTCGTGTCATAAAAACTTGTAAACAAGCAGTGGTAAGGTTAATACTGGGACGTGTAAAAGTGCTTTTTTAAAGCCTATTTGCGGAAATAAATGAGTACAAAACCACAGTTTTAACATACTTACACATAACATCCAAAAACACAGTAGTGTTGACAGATCCGTGTCTGTTATACGCCTCGCAGACGTAATGGCCGCCGTCCTTCCTCTGCACGGGGCCTAGCAGGAGGGTGTTAGAGGAGGATAGTATGAGCGAGTTGTTGGTGTGGTCCCTCGCAGCACTCTTGCTGGAATGCTCCCGCCGCCAGGAGAAACTTGGCATGGGGAATCCTCTGGAAGTGAAAGAGTTTCATAGTAGACTAGCTGACCCGGCGAACTTCGTAACGCCTATGTGCACCAGAGATGGAATTGTATAAAGCAAACGTATCCATTTTACAGTTCATAACGTACGATAAAATCTGTTTAACAAAGCGTGTGACAGTGGAATAATCGTACGTTCTGAACTGTCAAATGAATACAATCGCTTTACACAATAATTGCACCTAAAATGTAAAATTCTCATGGTGAAGTTTCGGAGTATATTCAATACAAACAAACAATCAAAAATCTTTCCTCTTTATTAATACTACTAGTCTAGAAAAAGACTTTACCTCGCAGAGCACACGACTTTAGCTGGTATCTCGTTTTCGATGACTGACACAACCTTCGGTGAAACTGTAATGTTTTCTGGTTCATCTGAAAAATAAACAAAAAGTTATTTCCTACTTGTGTGTAAAATTGGAGGCTCAATATTAACGTGCTAACATAAATATAAAACTAGTTAACACTCGGGACTCCGTTCGCGTAGGTACGACTGAGAAGAAGAATACTTTCTAAAAGCCTTTGAATTTTCATAATAATCATTGAAAACAACAAGTTTTATTTCCCGAGTTTCATCCCCTTAATCCAAGGTTGAAGAGGTTTGAAAAAGAGTCCATGCTAGACCTAAATCTATCTTGATATTAAGTTTAAGAGTACTGTACTGTACTGGAGGTAGCAAATAAACAACACTTACATTCCACAGCAAACTTGGTGGTGCTATTAACAGGGGGCCCGGCGTCGTTGCGGGACGAGCGGCACGTGTAGCGCGCGGTGTCGGCCGCCCGGTCCAGCACTCGCCCAGGCCACGCTGACATGTTCCAGTGCTGTGATAGAAAGGATAATAAATAAATATCCTTGGACATTTTACACTGCGCTTCTAGTCCCAAACTAAGCAAAGCTTGTAATATGGGTACTAGACAACGGATATAAACATACTTTAATACTTTTTTTTTGGAAATACATACATAATTATACATAGTAAACACCCAGTCCAATACAAACAAATATGTTCATGCACACAAATGTTTGTATTGTGCGGGAATCGAACCCGCAACCTCCGGAATAGTAGTCCGTTTCGAACCACTACACCAAATGGCCGACTAAATAAATATTAATAAAGTTTATCTTTCGTACTCCTGCGATTCAAAACCCAGTCTTGAATAGATACTTGACACGATTTTTCTTAGTTTTCGGATCGGCTGCCTTAGATGCAAGTTACTCATGTAGTAGAGGTATTGTTCTTGCAACTCACGAAGGCAAGTGAGCTTTAGACATTACACTATCGTCATGTGCATGTACACGTATACACACAAGACGATAGTGTAATGTCTATCAAAAATTTTGAAAAATGAACAGTAGCGAGCCACCACACATGTAAAGCTTACTCGCCTTCATGAATTGCAACAACTATAACCAAACAGTTGTAAAATATACCCTTTGATTTGTTCCGCTCGAGTAAGTCCCAAAACACCTATTGGACTCCCCTACTATAATTATTAAACTGAACTTGGATGATCATGTCAGCTTAAGACAGTCCATTGCTAAACACACATAACCCTTTTCCAAGGAAGGCCGCAAAGCACAATATCCCGTTTTTTCATTCAGGCACTGGACTAGCAACAATTTGCTATCACCATAATAAAAAACTAAGCAAAAAACTTACCAAAGTAGACTCCGTAGCCTCAAAATCGTTCCTATTGACTTGCGGCTCAATCTTCCTGGTGACCACGTAGTAGCGGTCGTTCTTCTCATCGATGACCTGCCCGTCTTTGAGCCACTGCACGCTGCAGAGCGGCGCACATTCTACGGTGCAGGAGAGCGATATATTCTGCAAAGGGAAAAAACGTTTATAGGTCTAGTCTAACTTAGTACCTGAGGTATGGGAGCAGGGTGTTTGTCATCATCATCATCATCATTTCAGCCACAGGACGTCCACTGCTGAACAAAGGCCTCCTCAATGACCTCCACATCGCACGGTTGGCAGCGGCCTGCATCCAGCGCCTTCCTGCTACCCTTATCAGGTTGTTGGTCCACCTTGGGGTGGACATCCCACGCTGCGTTTTCCGGTACTTGGCCTCCACTCCAGAAACTTGCTGACCCATCGGCCGTCAGTTCTGCGTACTATGTGCCCTGCCCATTGCCACTTTAGCTTGCTAATCCGTCGGGATAGCGTGTTTTTGTGACGGTGAAATTATGTCAGCGGGACTTCAGATTTGTAATATGCTCTGTTGTTGTTAGTCACATGGGCGTACCCAGCTTCTGGTCGACTTCCAGCTGCAACCTTTGGGTACGCCCATACTATGTCATGTCATAATATAGTAATGTTATGTGTTGCCCCTTCTGTGTCGCTCCCTTACCTCAGGCACTTTTATTGCTGGTTCCTTTTAAAAAAAAATAGTATTAAAAAGACAAAATATGTGTTTATTAACTTACCTGTGATTTGTACAATGCCCCGCTGTAATGGTTCATTGCGTACTTGAAGCTTGGTGGAGCTGAAAATAATAAAAAATAAAATATTAATAACGTAAGAGACATTATACCAGAAATGCATAAAAAAATTAATACCAAAAAGACTGAATTATCCACAAACAGCATTATAGCAAATCAATCTGTAGATATCAAATAAAAATAAAATAATCAAGATCCGTCAAAAAAACTATTGATTTTTTTTTTCAGAACAGTACTTAAATGAATGAACCTGAAAGAGACTAGGTACTTTATAGTCTGAATCGACAGTTTAGTCGCTTAACAAAGCAAATTATAGGATTTAACTTATTATCTTATATTTTACTTATCTTACCTAAAACATCAATAGCCACAGAGGCCAGCTCCCCCTCTCCTCCGGCGTTGGACCCTCGACAGGAGAAGGTGGTTCTGTGGTCTAAGGTCACTGGATCGATCGTCCAGTTCTGGGAAACTATGTCGGGCACTGGCCTGCCGCCACGGTGCCAACGGAACCTGGAAAAAGGAAAAATATTCATCATCATTAGAGTAGGCGCGCACACCGTTGATTTTTAGTTGGCCGATAGTTGTGCCCGATTTTAAATTGTATGAAGAATCGGTCAAATCTAATAGGCATAGTGTGCGTACTCCCATACATGCCCACACTGATCAACTGCCCGACTAAACTATCGGCCGACGAAAAATCAACGGTGTGCGCCTACTCTTAGCCAGTTAGTCTCCATAGCAGACTGACGTCTCTCATTAAGCCTGGAAGAAATTGACGTCAATTTAAGTTCATATTAATGAGTATTGAGGACTTGAATGTCAGCCAGACTCAATAAACAATTTGCCATAATGCGTAAATTTTCTTTTTAACGCATTTCAGTCCAACTAGAAACATTTAAGTATTCCAACAAAAAAAATAATATTAAAAGCTACTGCGATACAAGTTTTTATTTATTCATTATCATCATCAACAGCCCTTTACAGTCCAGCTGGACTATAAGCCTCCTCCACTATAGTGGAGGGTTTTGCCATAATCTCCACGCTTGGCAGGCGGGTTGGAGATCGCAGTTTTTTAGAGAGAGCTGCTGCCCGTTCTCTGTTTGATGTGTAGTCCCTAAATCGCATCTTACGACACCCGCGGGAAGAGTAAGGGTTGGTGCTTTATTAAGTAGTGCAAAATACTTGTAAATCCTTCTTCTTCATCCATTGTATTGGCAATAAATGTTTTATTTCTCTTCGTAGAATGATTATTGAACTTACCTATGAACTTCCGGCCGTCCCTTCTCCTTGATACTACAGCTCAGTACGAGGCTCTTTCCCTTCACCACTCGCCACGGGGAGTATGTCAGCTTCGCCGGCCCGGGCGGGTCTGAAAAAAACAATTAGTTTACATATGAGTAACTGTAAAACGAAAACGGGTGTGGGTATACATACAGGGTGGAATTTTGTAATGCCACCTGGAGGGAAAGTACTCTTAATATTGTAGATAGAAAAATGTTCTCAAAGAAAACATTCCTTTATTTTTGAAAAGAAAGAGAACTGCATTAAAAGATTATCGAATTTTTTTCAAAAATTCACTACCTTACCATAAATTATTCTGTAACATAATACAAAAAAAATTAAGATAATCATGGTTTTCCTTTCATTTGATTTACCAAGTATGTTAGAGAGATTTCATCCTTATACTTAACCCTAACGATCGATTTAATAAAAATACAGGGTGTAATTTTTAACAGATTTTAGTTGGATCGATTCCCGGGTGTGGCAAGCAAATTTTTGGAAATCCATGAATGCAGTTCTATTTTTTTTTTAAATAAAGTAATGTTTTCTTTGAGAACATTTTTCTATCTACAATATTAAGAGTACTTTCCCTCCAGGTGGCAGTACAAAATTCCACCCTGTATAGCCTTCTTTTCTTCTTCTTCGTCGCTACACTCTTGACAGATAGGTCATATCTGGTTTGATGGCAAACTTCACAATCCCTCGCCATTCCTACCATATTGCAGCCTTTCTTGGTGTAATTCCAGAGAATCGAGGTTTTCACCGTGAAGATTGACGCCGCAAAAATAGTAAGGACTTCAATCGTGGAACAGGTATCTAGCATGGACTGCTTGCCGCCAAACAAGAGGATTGTTCACAATTTATGTTCTTTTATCCATCTTCTGCCTCTAACCTTGCTCCACTAGTTAAAGCCTGCAGTTATTTACTAATATCCTAAACACCTACACTCCAGATGTAAATGCTCACACCTCACCACAAATCGGCTCTCAGCGGGATCCGAACCCACAAACAGTTCGGTCTAGCTGCTCTCATTGCCCCAACTGACGTAGTCCATATACCTTTGCAGGAATAGTAACACCAGCTCCCATCGGGATTCGAACCCGCAACTGCACTAGTCTACTTACAGTTAACCACTAGCTCAGTCTTGCTGCTCTCGTTGCCTCAGTCAGCATAGTTCTTGCTCTTGCAGGCATAGTAACACCAGCTCCCATCGGGATTCGAACCCGCAACTGCACTAGTCTACTTACAGTTAACCACGANTGGACTAACAGTTCTGATGAAAGAAAATGAGTAAGCTCAATGCATAAATGGGAGCGTAACAATTTTATTTATTTATAAAATATGTTATTCCATTTCAGTAGCCCATAAATTGTATCACCAAGTTTAAATTGTAGCCCATAAGTGTATGTTCACATACATCTTCGGATCTCACTACTAAACTTCCAGATTCGCACTAAAAGTCATCTCATTTGACTAAAAGTGCTTGAAAATTTCAGATTCCGTGAAAATCACGAAAAATATTATTTGTATTGAATTTTATTCAATTAACAAAGCTAAAAATATATAAATTATACCAAAACTGTTAGATTATTTTTTAAACTTTTTAACAACGTCCCGTACCAGGTGGGGTGTGTGACACCCACACGCACTTTAAAGGCATGTAACTCAGTTGGTAGTCACCGCTGGACTGATTTTGCAACGCTGATCGAAGCAGCAGGGGCGTGATTCCAGCTACTGAGAATTTCAAATTCAGCACTTGCAAATTTTTAAAATTATGGCGATTTTTAAAGGACTGGGGTGTGTCACACCCCACCTCGTACAGCGAGGGTTAAATCAAACTTTCTAGTTTCCGAGCAACAAACTTGCAATAGAGTTTTTCTATAAAGTATATGCAAGTTTGACATAACAAACTTGCATTATGTCTGCTTCTATAAATTATATGTAAGTTTGCCTTAACAAACTTGCAATAAATATGCATGTTTGACATTAAATAAAACAACAAACATAATAATATATATTTTTTTATTATTTATACTTTTATCATATCTTACTTTTATCATATTTTATTATGTTATACTTAATTATAAGAATAACTCGGTTTTATGGTCGCCGCTATTGGTTTTTATTTTCTTTATTTTGTCTTTCTGCTCTGAAACAAAAAGAAACAAGTATATTTTCCACAGGTTAAGCCATTATTTTACATTTAATTGTATAAGTTTCTGTACTACTAACAAAATTATGGACTAATGTCTGAAATATAATAAATATAAATATAAATATAATATCCTTGGACATTTTTACACTGCGCCTCTAGTCCCAAACTAAGCAAAGCTTGTACTATGGGTACTAGACGACGGGATAAACATACTTATATACTTTTTTTTTTGTAAATACATACATATTATACATAGAAAACACCCAGACCCGTCACAGAAATTAAAATTCATCATTTCAATTTCTGCCCGGCCGGGAATCGAACCCGGGACCTCTCGGCATAGTAGTCCGTTCTGAACCACTACACCAAACGGCCGACGTATTATAATAAATATTTAATATATCTAAAGTAATCCTTAAAAACTACTATAAGGGAAAGGGGTTATCAGTTAAAATTCTGAAAGGAGCACACCTAAAATTTGTAAATCACTACATAGTATAAAAGAAAGTCGCTGTCGCTGTCTGTCTGTCCCTATGTATGCTTAAATCTTTAAAACTACTAGGATTTTGATGCGGTTTTCAACCATAGTTAGAGGGATTCATGAGGAACGTTTATATGTATAACTATCCACGCGGGCGAAGCCGCGGGCGGAAAGCTAGTTATATATAAAAACCTTTCTCATAAATCCCTCTAACTATTGTTGAAAACCGCATCAAAATCCGTTGCAACTAAACAGGAACATGCAGGAACTATTTAGGTAACACTTGGAACACGTTGCCTGGGTTTGAAAGTAGGTAAATAAGGTATAAGGGATAGATAAGAACTACTTATCATTAATTATGTTTGTAAAAGTAAAAATAAATAAACTAACCTCTAATCTTCAGCACGTCACGTAAGTAAATAAGCGTCCAATTTGCACAACAGATGCGTTTATTATTTAAAACACCGTGCAAAACAAAAAAAAACTTGTACCACTACATTCACAGTTTTATTCAGATTGCTTTTTCTATTAAACAAAGAATATTTTTAGTTAACACTGATTTTGTGCACTAGTGATTATTTGCTCCATGATGCGTATGACAGTAGGTAAGTAACGCATGTTTGTAACAAACAAAAAACAAACTTGATACTTCATCTTTGAAACTTAGCACAAAATGCAAACTTGCTTCAAAATTACCAAAGCCTTGAAACATCATACCTAAATCAACAAGCTTACAGCAATATTGCCATAAACTTGATTTGTCATATTTGACGTGACAATCTAATTTCAAATAAAAATCAAGTTTGCAGCAAGTTCGCTTGCTATCTGGGTAGTCTGGGTACCCTTGCAGGAATAGTAACACCAGCTCCCATCGGGATTCGAACCCGCAACTGCACTAGTCTACTTACAGTTAACCACTAGCTCAGTCTTGCTGCTCTCGTTGCCTCAGCCAGCATAGTTCTTGCTCTTGCAGGCATAGTAACACCAGTTCCCATCGGAATTCAAACCTGCAACTGCACCAGTCTACTCACAGTTAACAACCAGCTCGGTCTTGCTGCTCTCGTTGCCCCAGCCAGCATAGTTCTTGCCCTTGCAGGAGTAATTCCCGTGGAAGCTCTTCGTGGTGTCTTGCAGGAGCAGCATCGAGGGGTCCACTTCGTTGCATAGGTTTTCTGTAATCAAATAGTTTTACGTCAATATTGTTTTATTCATCATTTAGTTCATCCACTGCTGAAACTACTGCAAAACATAAATGTTCAATTTCATAAAAATCTGTTCAGTTGTTTTTGCCTGAAAGAGTAACAAACATTCACATTTTATATTAAAAAATAGGATCTCACAGCGTACTTACTATCCCATCAGCTAGAAGCTACTCTAAAAATGCAATCGCACCTGGTGTTAAGTGAGGTGCAGTCTAGGATGGTACATATCTGCCCTGTAAATGCCTATTCACTCTCGCCTTGAAAAGGCCCGGACTTAAGAGTTCAGGAAATTCAGCAGCAGGTGGCAAGCAGGAATGTTTAAACATTGAGGATATAATACACTGGATACAATAATTTAATATTAACTTACTTTTTATTTTATTTAATTTCTACTAACCTAATACGACTCAATGATGTTATGTAAATTTGTACGCCGACCTTGGGCCAAACATAGTGATACCGACTTCATTTTTAACACCTGTAATATGTTATTTACCTATGTTCCACAAATAAACGAATTTGATTTGATTTGATTTGATTTATTCTAATTAATAATATTTAAGAATCTAGTTTAATACAATAATAATAATTATTTTTTAAATTCCTCCTCTCCATTGTTGTTGTGCCCGACAGGGTTCATGGTGATCCAATTATATATTTAAGACCTAATGTACACTGTGAAATGCAATAAAGATTTGAGTATTGAACAATAATTTTGAGATTGGCCGGTAGTAGCGGCCTGCATCCAGAGCCCTATTGCAACCTTTATAAGGTCATCTGTTCACCATGTGGACATCTCTGGACGTCTCCCACTGGGCTTGCCAGTACATGGCCTACATTCCAGTACCTAGCTATTCCATCAGCCAGAAGCTACTCTAAACCTGACTAACCATCTCCATCAGTCCCGTTGCACTCGGGCAGATGCTTCAACACCTCCCCGTCCAGGTACCAGATGACCTCGTCCAGCAGCGGAGGGTTCCCCGTCTCCACCTCGCACGTCAGCGTCACGTTCTTGTGGTCCGTCTCCAGAATCGGGCTTTGGGAGCTCATGGTGAGGCGCACTTGGGGTTTGTCTGGAATATAAGATGAGTAACATGTTAATAAATGCGACCATTGAAATTAATTGAAATAGTTTATTCAGTACATAGACCCTTTCCAGGGCACTAATACACGTCCCAAATATAGCTTGCCCTACCACCACTTCGGGACAACATAATATGGGCTGGTGCTGAGAAGAAGTGAAGGTTGAGGTATCTAAACTTTGAACCATATAATTCTGAAGCTTGTGACTTAAATTTCTGAACCTTGAACCTTCACAAACATTATTTTTTCTTAAAAATATACTGTTATAAGAGGATACAGTCAAGTCCTTGCCATTCCGGCGGAGAAAGAGCACAACCAATCTCCGCGCAGCTGGTGATTATGAAAATTCCATTTTCTTCCACTCGGTGGACCGACGATCTGGTAAACTCACAGGAAGCACCTATATGGGGGCAGTTAGGAACTCTCGTTGTGGGAATCTTTAGCGGAATCGTTATGGGAGGCCTTTGTTCCAAGAAGACGTCCTTTGGTTGAAACGAATCCTCATGGGAGGCCTTTGTCCAGCAGTGGAAGTCCTCATAAGCTGAAATGGTGAAAACAAGGTAAACCTAAGTCACTTACACAGCACGTTGACGTGTATGCTCTCATGGCTCGATCCATTCCCCACGGAGTTGGCCAGGAGGCAGGTGTAGTTGCCCATGTCCCCGCCCCGCGCGTCGCGAATGATCAGCGAGTGCTGGTCGGTGGTGCCGCCGTCGTAGTGGCTCGTGTCATTGACGGAGACTCGCTCGCCGTTGCGGTACCTGATGAAAAAAGGTTATTATTAACCTCATAAAAGTAGCAGGAAAGGCGTTGGATGCAGTGCAGGCCGCTACCAACCCGCTGTGTTTATAGCTTGAGCATGGTCATTTTCAAGAGTATGCAGATATGAACTTTTCTCTATAGGTACTAGCATTCAAAGCTGGAAATCTCGATTCAAAAACTATTGTTTTACATAAACAGAGATCAATCGTTTACGACTATCATTTTGATATTGATAAAAGAAGTTCATATGCTTACTACTGTTCTATGGTGCATATCTTTGCTTAAAGGTTATTTATTAAATCTTTGTTTGTCACCTGTCATCCGCTTTGCAATGGAAGGAAGTCGAACCTTAATTTCGAATTAATTTCGTTGCGGGTCCAATGACGGTTTAAATTTCCCCCGGGACAAACTTGACCTTCATTGGTTGGGTTTTTATGGCGGTCAAGCTGTAGATCCTGGCTACACAGGAATTGCAGTAGTGGGAACGAGAGATGGGAATAGTCCCGTTATTTCTTGCATTACCTTACTAAATCCCTCTATATAAAAGCGAAAGGTCACTGACTGACTCACTCACCACAAAATGTCAGAAACTACAAATGCTTAGAATCTCAAATTTTGCATGGGGGTTCCTTTTAGGACGTAGGTGCTCACTAAGACGGGATTTTGCAAAATTCAATCCCAGGTCGAAAAATGGGGTCCACGCGTACGAAGTCGCGCGCGGCCGCCAGTTAAATCTACAACTACCTACACACTCGTAACTTTGAATATTTGTCTTGAAAATTTTGGCAAACGGTCCCGAGTTCTGTGTGGGACTGCTTGCATAAGACGCCATATTTCATTCCGGCAAGTTGCCGTAAGTTTCGTGCCTCAAGTCTTAGCGCAGCTTGCATTTAATATGCGCAACACATCCTTTACGAAAAGCTACGGGCTTAAGTTGCGGATTAGATAAAACCTGTGTCCTTTGCTCAGGTGTTGTATTTGTGTAGGAAGATAAAATACCCTTCGAAATTAATAGTAAGTTTGTATAAAACATTGCTTACTACGCCAAAAAACTATAGCATTCTTCTAAATCGATAAGTCCGACTTTTTTAACACCAAATCACTAGTAATGAGTATTTGATTGTTGCATGAAATAATCACTTCTGGATAGACTCTATACTACTATTGGAATATTGAAATGTAGCCATCCCGCTCACGAAAAGCGAAATGGTATTACGAGTGCCAGTGACAGATACAGTAACAACAGAGAAAGTAAATTATGGAGTACTTAGTTTCGACCTCCGATATTTCTGTTTCGATATTTTTTATCATTTCATTTTACCTACTTATCTTAAGGCCTATGCACACTATGTTTTTTTCAGTGCCACAAATCTTGAAAAGGGTTTACATGAAAGCCGTGTCACCTGATTAAAACGAGGTGTGCATTGTGCGTGGGCCTTATATCGGACTTAAAGTAGAAAGACTTACCAAATGACAGTGTTCAGGGATGAAGGGTTGCTCTCATAGTCGCATTTCAGCAGCACCTTCTTTCCTTCCACCACTGTGATGTTTTTCGGCTCCACTCGTACTATGGGGGAATCTGAAAAATGATTATCACATAAAATATTTGACAAGGTAAAATTCCTCTTTGTGGGCATCGAGCATAATATCAATAGCTAGCTAACCTCTAGGCCAAACAATAAAATTGCTTTCTTTTTTTGTTTATACCTGGACCGCAAAGAAAGGTCGGTTAGAAAATCTTTAATATCTTCACTTAACTTTATGTATGTTAAACAAAACATTGAAAATCTATGCATTTTTATGTATTAAAAAATCTTTAACTCTTTATTTCATAAAGTTAGGTCAGGTCAAGCCATTGGGGGAGGTCTTTGCCTAGCAGTGGACTTCTTTTGGTTTAAAAAAAACAGACTGCTCATCATCATCATCATTTTCAGCCATAGGACGTCCACTGCTAAACATAGGCCTCCCCTAATGATTTCCACAATGGCCGGTTGCTGGCGGCCTGCATCCAGCGCCTTCCTGCTACCTCCATGAGGTCGTCAGTCCACCCTAGGTACTGTTAAATAGGTATATTTTATATTATTTACTTACAGTATATTTCCAGCTCCCTAGTAGCGTGCATGGGGTGGTCGTGCGTCCTTTCGGTCACCTCGTTGGACGCTTCACAGTGGAACTTCTGCCGGTTTTCGTACTTCGTCGCCTCGAAGGTCAAGTTGGATGTGGTTTCGAAGGTCGTGTCGCTCTGGAAGTGGTAGAAGTGAGGGGTAAACCTAAGTAATGGAAACTGGCCACATTTCTCTCAGGGAATTTGTAATTTTCAGTCGTAAAAAAGCTCCTTAGGATGATTGTGTTAGCATCGTTTAAAACCTGTCCTTAGTATTTATAAAAAAATATAAAATTGTATTGAAAGATAAAATTACATAAATCACACGTCATCCATGCTAGTCAAAGTTGCTACAACTCATACTACTATACTACGGTGGCGTTACGAAGCTCGTAGCAATTCGTAGCGGATGACTACGAAAAGGGTTTGTAGTACAAGTTGTAGAACAATGGATTTGTTTAGCTGCCATTTGCCATTCATTTTTCTTGTTGTGAACTTTTACTTAATTTATGTAAGTGTTTAATCAATATTATTTACAGGAGTTTTAGGCTGAGTTGTACCATCTTAACTTTGACAAACGTCAAAAATCTGTCAAACTCCATACAAAAAGCACCGGATAAATATTGTTATAGTTACGATCAAAGTTAGGTGGTGCAACTCAGCCTTAGTATGGAAATATCATTTTAAACAGTTTTCGTCCCGGTTTTTATTTTATTTTAAGTGCCAGGCCGAAGGTGGAAGCGAGCTTCACCCGGAATCCTCAACCACAGAGGAACTGGCTATCTTACCTCTAACTGCCGGAACACAACAATGCTATTAACATTGTTGTTATGACGACAGACTTAGGGCTATATTTCACCGGGACACCATGACGGCGCAACCAGTCGCCGCTACCAACAAAATGTATACAGCTCTATAGAGAGTTACTCACCTGGTGTCCGTTTGGTTGCGCAAAGCTGTATACATTTTGTTGGTAGCGGCGACTGGTTGCGCCGCCATGGTGTCCCGGTGAAATATAGCCCTTAGGTAAGATGGTGGTGATTCGTTTAGCTTTTTTGTAAAGGCCCCTCTAGTCTACCACCAAGTAACTAGATCTTGTCACTGTCAATTAACTGTCATTATTCGATGGACCAGCTTAACCCCCTCAACGAGGGCTCGAGTTGCGTGCCCATAAAATTTTAATTCGTGTCCCGGCGTTCAACAACTGAACAATCTCAAACTGTCAGCCCCCTTTGTCTCAAGTTTTTGCTTGGAGGTAGAGAGGGATGGCTAGATGTGGCATAGATAGATGGCAACATTTTTTAATCGGATTTTTTGCTCATACCTATAGATATAGAAGATACAATAATCGGTTTTTATCAGATTTTAAGAATTTTGAATAGAATAGAATATAATATATTTATTTAGATTTCTATAATATGTGCCCTATAATCTCAACAATAATAGACCAGAGTTCGACAAGAGATCAATCATAGGTGAACACTGAACATCTCATGTCTGTTAATAATAATAATAAGAACACGTTCTAAAACAATCTTTTTGTTTTGTATCCATATTTAAACACCGTCTCAACGGACCGATTAATCAGTCTAGTCTGGATTAACCTTACCTCAGGAGAGATACAAATATTTAATTTTATAATTTGTCATTTAGGCCCAGAACAGACGGTGGAACGCAACTGCAACGAAACTGCAACTTTCTCATGATTCTGATGAATGAAACTGAAACTGAAAGTTTCAAACTGGTCGCATCATGAGTGGTCTCTCAACGGACGCTATGGCAGAAACTTAGATGCAACTCAAAAGTAACTAGCAATTGCAGTTTCGTTGCAGTTGCGTTTCACCGTCTGTTCTGGGCCTTAGTATCCTTTAATAATGTAAATAAAACTGAATTAATAGACGTATTTGATTAAAAACTAACTTACATATTTAATTTTCCAATACTTAACCCAAATTGACTCTTCCATCGCCTCTATATCCAAAGTTTATCCCGCAACGAAGAATTTGCATTGTAAATGTCTATTAATTAGGTATGCATAGAAAATAACGGGCCCTCAAGTTTCCTTAATAGCCCTGTATGGCGACGCAGTTTAGGTTAAACCGGGATACATAAATAGGTTTGATTATACACAAGCAAGTACACACCTCTTGGCTTTCATCTTAAGATGATAAACTGGCTTGGGGAGACTCTATTTTGAGTCTTAATTGACTTTCTTTGATGATGTAATTTTATTGCTTTAAGGTGAGTGTAGACTGGAGCATTTATACAGGGTGTCCTAAAAAGTAGTGTCAAGCCGAAGTCTAGGGGTATTCGATAACTTGACTATATTTTAGTTATCTCTATCTATAGTTACTAAAGCTTGGTATTTTACTTGACAGTAAATAAATAACAAAATTAAACTTACCAATTCCACTGCTCGTTGCTGCTCAGCCGAACATGAAACAAAGAGAAGCACAAATTAGCATTACATAATAATATTATTTCATGTTTTATTATATAAGCACTTTTACGCGTGTTCCGAAAAACATCACCCGTAGTTATTCTTCAGTCGAGTTATTTTTACTCATCCAAAAACAAGCCTCATAAACATTACTAATGTTAGTTGCCAACAAAAAATATGCTTCCACAAACTCAAGGATTCTTTCCCCCCTTTTTTACCCCCTCCTAACAACACTTTAGAATTTTTTTTCTCGTTTGTATATTTTCGTTTTAAATCGACAGCTTGTTCCAACGGAGACATCCTGTTTTTTGCAGGATCCCTATTATTAGTTAGTATACGTGTTTTAATATTAATAACGCCTACACAATCATCCCGTTTGGAGTTGTCCCGCAAAAAATCTGTCCGTTAAATTTTTCATTTTAAAGACATATAATGAGGATTCCGGGTGAAGCTCGCTTCCACCTTCGGCCTGATCATCACTTACCATCAAGTGAGATACAGGCCAAGAGCTTCTTCGTTGTAGATAAAAAAAAATGCTAGTCTAGTTTGTGGGATCCTACATTACGGATCCAAAAAACTGGATTGCAGCATAAGATATATGCTTCCACAAACTCAAGCTTCCTCAGCGATTATTCCCCTCCCTTTTCCCCCCCTTCTGTTTTTCACCCCTCCTCTCTCTTTCACCCTCCTAACCACACTTGAGAATCTTTTTCTCGTTTGTATATTTTCGTTTAAATCGACAGCTTAGTCGCCAACGGTTATTACAGAATACCGCGCTGTTAACGAATTAATTGCTCGGAATTTCACTTCGCAGATGTTTTCTCTTACCTTTTTTAGGGGTGGGGGGCTGTCGATGTTATAACATGTCGATATCGATAAAATTATAGTTGTATACTAAATAATTTCAGAATTACAACTCTTTTAAATTATAGTCAGAAGCAATTCAGATAAATTTTGTATGAGATTAGAGCGAAGAATTTAGGTTACAATTTGATGTAACGCGTTTTATTTTTAGGGATATCACCATCATCATCATTTCAGCCATAGGACGTCACTCTCTCTCCTTCTCCCTCAACTTTTAGAATTATGAAAATCGAAATATGTCGTTCATTTTACCTTACTTACAAATATGTAGCGTTTCTGACCAGGAGATACCTAAATACTTTCTGCGAGAGACATATTTTATAGCAGATTTTTTGATGGCAATATTTTCGATTTCCCGCGTATTTTTATTTGAAATTATACAAAAAGCGTAAAAACAAGTAATAGTCATATGTATTCCTATTAGTAGTTTATAATTTTAAGTGACACATAAGAATATTTTGAACTTTAAAAAATTTAAATGTTCATTACATAACTTTATGTTTTTGTGACATTTCTTTTTTTGCTCCTGTACCCTTCAACTAAAGGGAGACAGTAGATATTGTTAAAATACCATAAGCCCTGCAAGGTAGGTTCTAAATCAGCGTACACGAATGTAGAAAACGAAGAAAATCCAACTTTAGGTCTAATGAAATGTAAAATTCTATCGACATGCCATGTCCCATCACTAGCGTTTAATCGGATTACGCCACTAGGCAGCGCATTACATTTTTTATATCTCGTTTGTGTTTCGGCCCGAAAGCGTTTGCTTCTTTTATTACGTTACTTTTTCAAAATATCGTTTTGACTCTTTCATCTCGTGTTAGTAGATTTTTCTGTTTAGCAACATAAATGTATGTTTTTGATAGTCTTAAGGTTTTAGTCTGTAGTATAGTGGTTAAGAATTTAGACTCTTTGAATTGTAGAGGAGTCTGGAGATCGATTTGACTACCAGGTGTATCGAAAAATCTATTTGTACAATCGTACTTATTTAATTTGGTTAGGATAAATTCAAAAAGATCCAAAATGTTATTAATTTTCAGTGATTTTGCCATTGAAGTAATATTACTACGTATAGAACAGACATCGCGAACAAAATATGTGCAGTGCGGGGTGCGGGGCGGGAATTTGACGGACAGCTGTCAGTCAAATCCATGACTATCAAGTTTCATAATTTATGGCGATAAAATCTGCACCAGAAAATGTCGTACTTCATTGCTAGGATTGCGCGAATAGTGACGTTCCTGCGGTCGCCTCATCATAGACATTTTGAATCGATTGTGAAAATAAACAAATCGATTAAATTGTGTTATTTATAATTTTCATGGTGCTCAATAGCAAAAATGTTCAGCTACTTACATTATTTTCTTTTATTATATTGTGCGTTTCCTGTAATGTAATCTAAGCGCCCCTCCCTTAGACTAATATTAGCCCTCCTAGACAAGTGACAAAACGTGGCAGTTGAAACGAAATCACTTCGCTCTGCCGTTTTTTCGTGTTAGTTAGGTACTTCACTCTGTGATGCGAATTTAAAATTACAACTGGCGATTCCGAATTCACAACTGAGGGGATTGTGGCTAATCGTGTTACTTGTGCTACAAGTGCGTATGGGCTTCATACTGATGCTTAAGCCTTTAATAATTTTTCTTCCCGATTAAAATCTAATGTAATCGATAATCGCCTTGAGAATCGTTAACTGGTATTTTCTAATTCGATAAAAAAATGACCCATCTCTAGTTTAAAACTGTCATCCAACAGCGCACGAAATATTATGAGTTATAGATAATGATACCATTACAGAGGCGACACTTCGTTTACGTTTAGTTTCTGCCTATTGAATTGGATACTGTAAGGAAACATCGTCATCATCATTTTAGCTACTGGACGTCCACTGCTGAACAAAGGCCTCCTCTAATGATTTCCACATCGCCCAGTTGATAGTGGCCTGCACCCAGCGTCTTCCTGCTATCTTNGGTCGTGTACATCGGTAGATTTTGCTAAATAAAAGAATCCAACCGGACTCAGAAATAAAAAAATTAAAATAGCTGTAATTTTTAAATAGTAGGGATAAAATGTTTTATCAGTAGATTTGTCGATAAAATTGATCATATTACTGCGCCCTAACGGGTCGGACACTGGTGACCAGACACACTGTATAATTATTATAATTTTAGCCTATCTCGTGAGCTAGGTGTCAATAATTAGGGTGATTTACTAACTAACCAGTCGCATACGAACAACAGCAGTGAGATTCGAACAAGTTTGATCCATGATGCCGCACGACTATTGTGTGAGCCCACTCGTAACCCAAGCTTATTTAACTTAACACGAGGGGCTGGACGGGACTATTAGTAATTTGTGCAATACAAATTGCTAATAATCATTAACACTAGAGTACACGCGCGGACTACTATAGTAGACCAGGGTAACATTTTACGCTATAACTTTTTGAAAACTTGCGCCAGAGAGCTGGCATTCCAGGAAAGCCTCGTTTACTAAATTTGTCAGTAAGCCAGTAAAGCTTGGGTCGCTAGTGTCTGCGCACTTTTCTAAAATTGGCCGTCAAAACTGCGGGTCTACTCAAAAGCCCGAAATCACTAGACAAAAAAATTATGAAAGACTTGCAACAAATAGATTTACACCGTGTACCAGGCAGTAGAAAATCATGAATACTATGACAGATAAAAAACTAATCATATTTTTTCAGTCAATTTTTTTTTTGTTAACATTGGTCTCAGATTGCAATTTTGGTCCAAAAAATTTACAACTTTTAAATCTGTTTATAATGTTTGATCCCAAATAGTTATATAAATAAACTTTGATTATAAAATAACTATAATAAACACTTTTATCATTTACATAATTATTCTATTCATAAATTGCTTACAAACTGATTTACAGTGATTTTAAATTGGCTTACCAGAGTAGGCCGCGCGTGTATTCGTGTAAAAAAAGGAGCGCGTGTACTGCAGTGTTAAAAAAATATTTTTATTGCTTTATTTAACCTTCCTTTCGTATAGTAATTTATGAGTCAGTGTCAAGTCTGCGATTTTTAATCTTTGAAATTTTCGTAAAATGGCTGCCGCCGCGGTGACGCCTTGTAATTGACAAATTAAAATTAAATTAGTGTTTTAAAGTGCATAAATGTACAACATAACGGTAAAAAGTCATTCCTTGATTTTTACTTAATATGTTTCTGGAGTTATTTGAACAGTATTTTCGTGTATAGGATGGTATATTTTCAAAAAACAAAACTGCACCCAAGCGTGTTGTCACAGCAACCGCTGGGCACATACTAATTGAAGATCGGTCCATGGACCTGTTTGCGTGCCAGAAACAATCTCGTTGACATGTCTTCTCTAGTACGTAGTACATTATAACTCAATGGATTTTGCATATTTATTTTGTTTTTAGTTTACACTAACTAGATAAGAACAATAACATTTTGGTTTCATGCTAATATGACCTAGATGTTAAAAAAGTATGAAGACTGACATTGACATTTTAGATTTAACTAGCAAATCTAGACTTGATTTAGACTTGGGACTAAAATAGACTGGATTTTATATTATAGAGACCACAGTGAGGCTGTTTCCAATGTGAGTGATATTTTACAAGGTTATCCATTCTTGTAGGTACAATTACATTTAATAATTATAAATATGAATTATTTAAGTACATTTTCAAACAAATGTTTTATCAAATGCTGTTATTATCTACCACATAAGGGTACAGCGATACAGTAAATTAAATTACAAACAGATTTAATGCAAAGGATTTATCTCCCATTCTGGGACAGAAGCTTTGTTAGGTTGTTGTCATTTTGGAAACGTATGGGAATAATTTACCCATTGTAGTAATAATTTACATTAAATTAAATTCTTTTTTACTCTACTGTGTTAAAAGGAAGGTATGTTTGTTAATTTTGTGAGTGACATTGGGTACAACAAAATTACTTTCCAGTTAATTTAATAAGTAACTTTGAACATTTTCAATTTACATTTTCAGTGTATCCAGTCGAGATTTTTTACGAAATTGTCTTTAAAAGTAAGTTTGATTACAATTAAACTTCTTTTCGTCTTCTTTTCTAAATCAATTTCTGTAATCTATTTGCTGGACGT